CAGCTTTCAGTCTGCTCATGACCTCATCCCACTGGCAACCTTAGCCAGTGCCCTCCCCATTGATGCCCACCCACCCCCACCCCTCACCTTCCCACTGCTAGCCTCCCCACCCCCAACCCCCCACCCTGGGCCCCCTGTGCTTTGGCCATATGCAAAGATCTTCTCCCTATTCCCAAAGATGCTGGAATTCCCAGGGTGTTAGTAAGAGCTGGAAAAGGCCCTCAGGATCATGCTATTTGTCCTGGTCTGCCCCATTCTTCAGGAGCTGGAGCAAAATAGCAGTGAGACCTGAGGAAGGACTTCCTGATAAGGCTGTGAAACAAAGCTAGGAAACACAGATTGGGATTTTGCTTCTCCTTGGGATTCAATCTCCCTGGGATTGACTCTCTCCCCTGACCCCACCCTCTGAACCCCAAATTCATCACTACAACCACTCTCAACGCTTACCTGTTCCCCAAAGCCCCACAAGATGGTGAAGAAGCCACCTCTCCCTTTCTCAGGAACCTGAGTTTTCTGGAGAAGAACCAGGATGGGAAAGGGGCTCTGGCTTCCACCTCCCCTCTCCCCAGGCTTCTCAGGGACAGCTGGGTCCACATGAGTTGGAGGGACTAGGGCTAGCCTCCTTGGCTGACTAAGGCCCCACAGAGAGGCAAACAGCCCAGAGCTGGAAGAGATGGCCTTGGAGAGTCAGGCATCTCACTCCAAGCCTGGCGTGGCTTCATACTTCTCCTCTCCACGGTATACAGAGAGCTCACAAGGACGTGTGATAATAATAGTAATAATAGTATTATTCTATATTCTGTAGCACTTATTCCCGCCTCTGGCATTGTTCTGTACATATATTAACTCACTTCATCCTCGCCTTGTGCAACCCAGTACAGTACTATCCCCATTTTACAGGTGAAGACACTAAAGAGCAGAGAAGTGGAATCTGTCCAGGATCCAGCAGGAACAATATATCCTCAGAGGGTTTCATTGAAGTGAGCTTGTGAATGGGACTATTTACAGAAGCAGGAGCAGGGTCACAGGAACCCCCAAGGGGTAGCCTGAGGACTAACAGCAGGCAGCCAAAGAGAGAGCAGTGTGACTGGGATGCAGTGAAAGCCCTGGAAAAGGCATGAATGCCCTGACCTTTCCCCCCACCTCCACTCCACCCTCCCTGCCCTCTGATTTCCTGCCTATGACTCCAGCTTGCCAAAGCCAAAGGTAAGCCAGGGGCTAGAGGGCCCGGGTGATGCAGCCCATTGATATTAGCCTCCTGAGGCACGGAGCAGGCCAGAGATCAGATCTAGGGGAAATGGAGACCTCCACACACCTAACGCTTAACGTCCCAAGGCTCCAAAGGGTCGGTGATCCAGACCCAGAGCCTGGCTCCCTGAGATGTTGCAGCATGCTGACTGGGAAAGGGGTTGCCAGGAGCCAGGTTGGGGACAAGAGACTGGATTCTAGTGCAGGTTGTGCTGCACTGCTCTGTGATCCGGAGTGAGACTCTGGGTCTCAGTTTCCCCTTCATGCAACTCTGGGACAGCCAACGTACCCAGACCAGAAAAAGCCTCTGTTCCCACTGCTACTCTTTACCTCAGATAAACCTGGCACCAAAGGCTGAGGCCTCAGGCATGGAGATGATGAGTCTCTAAGGAGGCCATCCCCAGCTGCTGTCCACTTAGGACTCAGAGGTGGTCTGCAGTGAGCCCCCCTCAGTTGCCCTGACAGCCCCAGTGCCTCAGTCTCTCCTACCTTTGCACTGCCAGCATTCCCTGGCCCACAGCTCGGGGACCCACCCCAGGGCAGGCTCCCTCCTCCCAGTGAGGATTTGCAGGGCCTTGCCTAGGCTAGCACCTCCACAGACCCTTCCTTGGGAGATCGGGGTGGGGGGGCATCCCTGGCCTCTGGGGTCTCTGTCTGGGGTGGAGGAGTCCCTCCTCTCCCCTTCCCACCCCACCCAACTCTACCCCACCCATGCTTCCCCAAGCCTGGGGGAGCCGCACCCAGGTTTTCAGACAAACAAAATCAAGGGGAAAGAGTTAGCAAGAAGGAGGGAGCTCATCACCAGGAATTAAGGAGGAGGCATGCCCTAGGGTAAGATGAGCGGGACTGGGCTGGTAGGAGAGTCACTCCTAGGTACACGTAAAGATGGGCCCAGGTACACCAGATGTTCACTTAGAAGCACACAAAGAATGTTCTAGACACAAAGAGCCAGGCAGTGACAGAAACACAGAAAGGGACAGAGACTTGGTTGGCCAGAGTCACAGACCCACAGAGACATAGTAAGACATACCGAAAGACGGCCACACGCAGAAACACAGAAATGCACACTTGCATGTGTGCACACACAGGCAGGCACACAAGGAAACAGGAACCAAGCTCAGGTTTCAGGGAGGCTGATTTCAATCCAAACAAGCTAGAACATTAAGGAAACATGGGTGACTCCAAAGTGAGCTGTGGAGAGGACTTGACTCAGGAAGGGCAGAGCTGAGGTGTGGGATCTGTCTTCCCTCCCACGTGGCAATTGTCCCTCCAAGCCCACCCAGGAAAGTGGATGACAATACTTTCCTAAAGGAGATGAAGACATTTCCTTCTAGAACTTGTTATTAGCTAGAACTACTAATGGGAGGCAGAGCCTGGACATGAGTGGGGGACGGGGGTGGGAAGCTTCCCTCCTGCCCCTGGAGGGGTCACTCACTGCTGCTTGGTTCATGTCCCTACCAGACCCTCCCCGGAATCATGGCTCCTAGCCTGGCCAGGCCCGACCCTCAGGGGGCCTGACCCTCCATCTAACATGCTCCTTGGGCTGCCTGCTCCTCTGCCCTCTACACCTATGCCTGTGACCCTCTTGTGTTTCCTTTCTCTCCCTCTTGGAAAGCCTAGAGTCAGGGCACAGCAAGCCATCACCCGCATTCCCCCTCCCTCCTCTCAGGAAATTCAGAATCCGTGGAAGGAATCTGAGGCGGAAGAGGATGTTGAATTCAATGACCTTTATTTTTTATTTATTTATTTATTTTTTTTTATGATAGAGAGAGAGAGAGAGGCAGAGAGAGAAGCAGGCTCCATGCACCGGGAGCCCGATGTGGGACCCGATCCCGGGTCTCCAGGATGGCGCCCTGGGCCAAAGGCAGGCGCCAAACCGCTGCGCCACCCAGGGATCCCCTCAATGACCTTTAAAAACAGCCTTCAGCATCTCTCCATCTCCTCCCCAGTCCTGCGGGAAAAATCATAAGGTGACATTTATTGACTATTTGCTATCCACTGGTTCTTCTGCTAAGTCCTCTTCATGAATTACCTTCCACGACGTCCTCCTCTCAGTATCTTCCAATTCACAGGTTCAGGGAAAGAAAAATGGCAATCCAAAGTCACACAGCTAGAGAGAAGCCAAGTGGGGCCTGGAATCCAGGTTTGACTACTCTTACCCACTGTACCAGAAGGTCTCCCACCACCCCGTGGGCTGTGGTCAGGATCAGCTGCAGGATTGGAGAAGATACGGGCCACACTGGGGAGGAGAGCCAGGTGGGAGCACCAGAGGTTGGACTGGTGTGGCTGGAATGAAATTCTGAAGCTGCATTCCTCTCCCAAGGGTGGCCCTGCCTTCCCCTAGGGCTTGGGAAGGGGACACTCCCTCTGGCTCAGGTCTCTCCAACATTCCAGACACACCTCTTGGGAGCTGGGGACAAGAAGGGAGTGGAGACCTGAGATAGAACTGTCTTCTCCAACTCGCCACTTCCCTGGAATCCTGACCGTGTGGCCCTGCATTTGCCACCCACCCTGTCTGGGCTAGGTCTCCTCATCTGTGAAGTGGCTGGGGAGCACCAGCTTTCCCTCTAAAGACCACATTTCTCCTGCCAGACCCAGGGATCCTCTGGCTGCCCTGGGGTTAACTCAGCAGGAGGCCTAGGCTTGGGGACCGCCTTCCCTTTTATTCCCAGTGAAACTTGATGAGGATCTGGTAAGGAGGTACAGAAGGAGGTGAGAAGAGGCCCATGATTTCCTGACTGAGCTTGCTAGGCTCAGGTATGTCAAGCCTCTTGCCTCCCTGGGGGCAGTCAGGATACCAGCACCAGTGGGTCCAACCCCAGCCTTAGGGGCAGCAGAGGTGTCAGACTGAAGAACTGAGCAAAGAAGGAGGCAGGGATGAATGTAGCTGTGGTCCCTGAGCTCAGATAACTGACTCTAGAAAACAGTGGAAGGGTGGGGAAGAGCAGGGATGACTTTCTAGAGGGGACACTAGAGGAGACCAGGATTTCAGTGAGTGAGCCTTTTGGATCAAAGGTCCAAAGGCACAGAAGTACCCAGAGTAGTCTGGGGGTGATGGAGCATTGTGAGGGGATAGGTAGGGACCAGGAGCCAGGGCCTGGGGGAGCTGAATGCAGGAGGGAGCGGTTTGGGTTGTGTCTGGAAAGTAGGCAGAGCCATGGAAAGAAGCCACTTTCAACAGTCGTGTCAGAAAGATCCCCGATGGCTTCAGTCCAGTCTGGCTGGGGCCAGCCTGAAGCCAGGGAAACTGCTAAGGGGGCTGTGGTCAAGTTCTGGGCAGATGGGTTAGAGCCTAAACAGCAGCAACCTAAGAAGACTATACAGGTCCCTAGTCTGATTGGTCTCCTCCCGCAACAAGAAGCTCACTACTTTACTTCCTGAATAGCAGTCCTCCCCTTTGGCCAGCTCCGCCCAAGAAAATGTTTTTTCCCTAGGCCAGGTTCAAGCCTGCCTTCCTGGGATGACAGGTGGGTGCAGGGGTCAGGAAGGAGATGCCATTCATTGTGCAAGAGGATGGAAGCTTGGGGGCCACTGAGTTCAAGCTGAGAGGCTTGGGGAAGAGGCTCTCTGACCTGCCTGTGGGACGGACTCTTGCCCCCTGCGTGTACAGGGGCTAGGTGTACTAGCCCTAGGGTGCCCTGGCCAGGTGAGACACCAGCTGGGCACCCTGGTGGTATTTGTGGCTGGACATAATGAAGCTCCTTAGCTGGCCCCAGAACAGCAGGGCAAACAGAGAAATTTGCACAATTGGCAATTTTAGGCACACATTTTATTTTATTTTTTATATATAAAAGGCAAAAGAGTACATGTATTGAGTGGAGGATTAAAGGAGTGAAGACCCTATTTTAAGTAGGGTCTCCCAACCCCCATCCCTAAAAGTCTAACATCTTGCTGTATTACAAAAAAAAAAAAAAAAAAAAGGCAAACATGAAACTTATGACCTGGACTTCACCCCACTACCCCTCATGCCTACATTATGACAGAAATACGTTCTCTGCTCCTACTTATATACAGCCAGAGCTCCACACCTGGGCAGTGGGCCTCCCCCCATATTCCCACCCTACCTTCCCAAAGCCTCTAGAAGCCCCCTTGCTGAGAAAAAAGGGCACATACACACACATACTCAGAAGCACATATATCTGGATCCTTCTCCACACAGAGCACCTGAAACACATACAACACACCACAGATGGACCTTCCCCTTCCTCTGGGTTCCCCCCACAGCTAGAATCCTTTCCATTTGGTTGCTTGCCCTGAATATCTTAGAAACCACCACACACACACACACACACACACACACACACACACACACACACACACAGCTGCTCCCCATTCTCTCTTTTTGGGAAACAAAGGGTATGTTGGCCCTATTCCCTGTCCCACCACAGCCTAAAGTCAGTGTCCTAAGGTCCTATTTGTGGAGGGTCCTGGGGGGGAATCCCCAAGGGGGCTGTCCGCTGGAGGGGGAGTAAACAAGGAGCTTCTTAGTCTGGGAGGGGGGCCATGGAGGCTTCTAGGGAGCAGCCCTCACACAGTCTGTGGATGCTCAAGGGAGGGGGCGGGGAGGTGGCCCCTGCCCACTCAGATCTGCTCCTTGTGCTTCACGTGGGCCAGCTTCACATTCTCTTGTTCAGTGGAGGGTGGAGGCTGCTCCAGATGGCAGCCGATCATGAGCTGGTACACGAAGACGCCCGCAATGGAGCCCAGGAGCGGAGAGACGATGGGCACCCACCACCAGTGGCGGCCGGTCCTGGGGATGGACAGATGTGGTCAGAGGCTGGTGGGGCAGCAGAGGGGAGTCAGGCTAGGGCAGGCTAGGTGGGGGCTGCACTCACGTGAAGACTTCGGTGCCCCAGCCAGCAATAGCGGTGAAAAGGCGAGGACCAAAGTCTCGGGCGGGGTTGACAGCATAACCAGAATTGAAACCCATGGAAGTGCCGATAACCAGGACCACCAGGCCCACGGTGAAGGCCTCCAGGCCACGGGGAACAGGGTTGTTGTAGGGATCAACAATGGCCAGCACACACACGATGAGGGAGGCTGTGCCGATGAACTAGGGAGTGGGGAGGACAGGGTGAGATGCTGCTCCCAACCCACCGTCCGGCCCCTCCTCAGTCCCTGGGCTCCTGGAGCCTTACCAGTTCCCAAGTTCAGCTCTTTCCAGCAGTGGTGCTAGAATGCTTATGTGCACAAAGGATCCCCTGGGGAACTGGCTAAATATGCAGAGTCCTGTTTTGTAAGGACCTGACACCATGATTCTGATGTAGGTGTTCCCACACATTGAAAAACCCAGTCAAGGAGTCCCATCCCCCAGCCACCCACGGAGCAGCTGAGTAGCTTGGCCCTCCTCCCTGTGTTCCCCTCATGATTCCCCGGCCCATACCTGGTCGAAGAATCCATTGACCATGTCCAAGTGTCCAGAGGGGTAGGTGGCAAAGATGCCAGCTGTGCCATTGGGGCCCGAGACTACAAGCTCATTCTTGGCAAAGTCCCAGATTGCATCTGGTGACAGATTAGAGCCAGAGTGGGTGAGGGCAGAAGCCTACCCGCTCTCCTGTCTCAGGCTGGGCCCACCCTCCTGGGGGATCACAGGTGAGAACATCACTGCTGTATTATTACTCAGGAGTCTGTGGAGGGGTGGCAGTGGGGGGGTGGGGGTGGATAGCCTGAGACTCTATTGTTGCCCAACTTGTTTCTTTCCTCTTATGCCCCCCACCTTGGGCCCGTGCGTGAATGAGTGAGTCATGAGCCAAAGGCTTGGGCAGGGCCCAGCTGTCTATCATCAAAAGGCCAGGTGCCAACAGGTCCCAAACAGAGGGAGGGCGGTAGTGGAGGATGGCAGGGCGGGGAATACTCACCGTAATACAGCCCAAAAACAATCCCAGCACCCAAAAAGGCTCCCAGGGTCTGAGCCAAGGCGTAGACAGGCAGCTTGATCCAGGGCTCGCGTGCCAAGAAACACATGGCAAAGGTCACAGCAGGGTTCAGGTGGGCCCCTGGGCAGAGGGGAAATGGGACCTATTAGTCACTGTAGCTTGCCACAGACAGGAGGCCAGGATCCTTAACCTCCATATTCCCCCTCTCTTGCCCTCGTAAGCAGGGGTGCAGAGAAGGGTTTCTTGTACCAGGTGGGGGGTTGGACTATGTAACAGGCCAACTCTGATAATCTGATTCCAAGGTGAGAGTCACAGGTTCAAAGTATCAAGTTTCTTCTCCACTTTCCTCTTCCAAGGGCTCAAAAAGCTGAGGCCACGGCTATGCCTCATCCTTGGGAGTGTCCCCCACTACCCCATTCCCCCGCTGGGCACCTTGTGGGAATGCCATTTGAAGATTGATGACTGAGGGTGGAGCAAGGCCTTACCAGAGACCTGGCCAGCAACAAGGATGCCCAGGGTGACAGCGAAGCCAAAGGCTAGGTTGATGGTGAGGAAGCCACCGTGGGTGCCCCGGCTGAGCACCACCTGGGCCACGGAGCCACAGCCAAACATCTGTATGAGGAAACAGAACCAGGCAGAGAGAGTGAGGCTCGGCAATTGTCACTCCGGAGGGAAGAGGTAAATCCAGCAACCTCCACCTGCCTTCATCCGGAGAACAGGGAAGCCCTTCCCCGGGGAATCTAACCCAAACCCTCTCACTGCAGCTGCATCCTGCAAAATAAGCAGACATACCCTCCTACCCACAATGTGCAAACTTTAATTTAACAGGGCCCTGCGGGATGGACTGGATGTAGAGTCTACAATTGGGAGCCCCAAAAGATGTCTGGACCATCTTCTCTAATTTTTCTGGAATCTTAGTAGAAGTGAGGTAAAGGGGAGCAGCTTTCACCTTAGCACAGTTTCTCTTCCAGCCCTTCAGGCCTGACCCACAAAGTGGAAAGGCTCTCACTCATACCCCACATGCACTTGCCTTCTTCTTCATCTCAAAGAACAGCTTGGGGGTAGGGGCCGGGGATGACATGGGGCACAGAGAAATAGAAAGGAGGCTAGAAGTTAGGGTGAATCCATCTCTTCTGAATCTGGAATGTCTGAGCCCTGCCCCCACCCTTGCCCCTATTCCCATCCCAGAGCCTCCTCTCTCCACTCACCCCCACCCCTCTCTCAAGGGGTCCAGGTTCCCTAGTCAGATGTGGAGGTCCTAAAGACAGTGATCTGAGTGGCCCCTCTCACTAGTCCCAGCAGGGCAGTGGAAGTGGGGAGATTGATCCTAAGGTTTCTGCCAGTGATGGGGGAGATTCAAGAGGCCTAAGGTCCCCGATGTCCTGCAAGTATAGGACATCCTGTTCCTCTTATTTAAATGTAAACATGCAGGATCCCTGGGTGGCTCAGCAGTTTGGTGCCTGCCTTTGGCCCGGGATGTGATCCTGGAGTCCAGGGATAGAGTTCCTCATCGGGCTTCCTGCGTGGAGCCTGCTTTTCCTTCTGCCTGTGTCTCTGCTTCTCTCTCTCTCTGTGTGTCTCTCATGAATAAATAAATAAAATATTTAAAAAATAATAAATGTTAACATGCTTCTGTACCAGCCACAAAGAGCTATTGCCTTGAGCCTCCACAGTATTCCATAAAACTGCTCCAGCCCCTGCCCTGGGTTTCCTCTTCTACCTCCCCATAACTAAAAGTTTTATGCCTACCCTGCGAGCAGCTCCCAAGACTTGTGCTAAGGCCCCTGGTCATTCTGATGGATCAGTGTCCTGCTGTACTGGCTTGTTAAGCATTTTGATTATCATCCCGCAGAAAGACCAAGAGATAGTGGGGAAGCCAGCAGGAGTGATGCAGGGCAAAGGTGTGTAGGCAGGTGAGAGCAAAGATCAGAGACTGTGAGTATGTGGGAGGTTGGGGGAGGCATATGGGGTCCGGGGCACCCTGCCCAGCTTGGCAGGCCCTGGCCTTGGCTCTTTTCCTGCCTGAGGCCCAAAACCGGCTCCATCCCAGGAGACCTTGGAGGTAGAAGCTGTCAGAGCCAGTTCCACCACCTTGGGGCTAATCTTCCTCTTCCTCCCCCTCCTTCTCCCATTTTCCCTGCCTTGCTAGGTACCTCAGGGAAAGAGGCTTCCACCCCAAGGCCAGCCCTTATCCTACCACCAGAGGCTCTGGGTCCCCAGCCCACAGAGGTATGCAGGCAAGCCCTCACCCACCACTCAAGGGTCTCCCAGGCTTAGCCCCTCCTCTTTAGGCAGCCCTTGAGGTTCTCCTTTTCACTGACACCAGATGCCTTACGCCCATCTGAGCTTGAAAGCCTTCACAGAAGTAACACCCTCATTTTGTGGTTGAGGATAAGCCAAATGATCCTGGGGCTCAGTGCAAGGCCTGACTGCTTCTTTGTGGGAGAGGCCAACTGAGATGTGAGAGGATAGGGAGGCCCCTCTATGACTGTGGAAGACACCTTCCCTGGTCCTGGCTGCTCTCTCAAACAGGGGCATGGACCATCAATCAGATAGTGAGGGACATGAGGTTCTGGGCCAGGAGGGCGAAAAGCACCTGCCTCTCCTCCCTTCTTGACATAGGGAGAGAAGGGATGGGGATGATGCAGAGGGCCACTGGTCTTGTGAGGGGCTGTGGATAAAGTGACCCACCTGGCTCCTCCCTTGCTGTTCCTGGAAGCCAAAGGTTGAGTCTGAGACCTCTTCTCACCAAGGAGCCTGCTCTACCACCACCACCCATTTGAGCCACCCCAGCCCTACCTACTTGCCTCTAGTTAAGCTTCCACAGGGGGCCGCCTGGTCTGCCTTACCTACAGTTGGGGCTGGGGCAGGAACGGAATAACCCATTCACCACAGTGAAGCAACTGAACCCAGAAGTAACCCAGGGGAAAAACAGGTGTAACCACATGAGGGGCTGAAAATCAGAGAGTAGGTGGGACAGGAAATGGAGACTGTAAGCAGTTATTTCTGTCAGACCCAAGAAATGTAAACAAAGTCACCCGGGAACAACCTAGAGACAAAACTAGTGTAACCAAGGAGTAACTGGACTGGAGATAAACACTACCCAGAGAACCCACAAACTAACCCAGAGGTTGAGTTAGAGGCTGAGGCTCAGAGTGCTTGGGCACAGAGGGCGACAGCATCTGTCCGGGTGACCGACCATCTGGGAGCCGCTGGCACAAGGGGTGTGACTTTAGTTAGACCATGTCCTCTGTGCCCGGGGCCTAGCTGCCTTCCGCAGCCTCCTTATCTCCAGTATCCTCCTTTCTTCCAGCTCTGCTGTTTGCACCGTGTGGCCTCCGCCCTCTGCCCCCACCTGTGGCAAACTGTCCTCACATCACGGGAACTTTTGGACTTTCTAAAGCTTAATTATGCATTAGGGGCCAGATATCCAGGACCCAAATAATCTAATAGAGGCCCATCTGTGCATGTCCCCACTGCCTCGCAGAGCTGGGGCTCTGGGCACCTGGGGAAGGGGAGCCGGAAGACGCTGGAGGTCTGCGCCTGCAGGGGTGACGCCGCCCGCAGCCTCCGGGCTGGGGCCGCGGCCGGGCGGTCGGTGGCAGTAACAGCTGGCATGTGGCAAGGGTCAGAGCTGCCACAGCTGGGGTTGGAGCGGTGCGGGGAGAGCCCTCGGGGAGAGCCCTCGGGGACCGGGCGAGGTGGGGAGCAGAGCTGGGAGAGGCGTGGGACCGTCGGGACAACCGGGGAGCAGGGGGCGGGCAGCGTGGGCGCTGGAGAGAGAAGGGCTCCTCCGGGTCCCCCCACTCACCACGAGGATGAGGGTCCCCAGGCACTCGGCCAGAGCCTGGCGGAGCAGCCGGTAGCGGATGTGCAGCATCTCCCCGCAGCGGGACACCAGCTCCTTCTGTCGACCCATGGCGGGAACGGCGGCGGCGGGCGGCTGCAGTGGCCCCGAGCGCCGCGCGGCGCCCTTTATAGGAGCGGGAGGCACGGCCCCGCCCGCCCCGCAGCCCCGCGGCCCCGCCCGCCGCGCCCCGCGCCCCGCGCCCCGCGCCCCGCGCCCCGCGCCCGGAGCCCGCCCGAGGTGTGGGCGGCCGCCCCCCGCGGCTTGCCTGGGGAGCCTGGGGAGGGCGCCGGGCTGCGGGGGGCTGAGGAGGAAGGTCGGGGGCGGCGGGGAGCGTGGGCTTTAGGGGTGAGTTCGCTGCGGGAGGGCACGTAGGGGGGGAGGCGTGCTGGGGGCTGAGGAGACTGCGGGGTGGGGGGGCGGGGGGTACAGGTGCGGGATCGGGGGAGAATGAAGCTGCCCCTAGAGGCCTCCTTGGGCGGCTCACAGCGAGCCCTGCTGTCATCCTTGCGACGGTGGGGGTGAGCGGGAGGGTCGGAAAGGACAGGAACTGCCCCCCCCCAGCCCTACAGGTCCTCAGCCGGGGCTGGAGGGAGGAGGCCGTGGGCCCCGAGGGAGAGGACACCTTCTCAGGGTCCAGACCTGGGTGCGCTCACAGCACGTGCGCTGAGAGCTCATACGCGGCTGCGGCTGTCGCTTGTGCTGACTACACGTCACAGGTTGCCGGTCCCGACCAGCTCTGTCCACAGCTGTGTCCACACGTGCCGTGTGTCCGGTGTGCCAGATCCACTTGGACACTTCTCGTGGCTGTGCACATGCCTGTTGGACCTGGTTGGGTTAACTCAGTCTGCCACACGTGTACCTGCGTGTGTTTTGCACATGGTTCCAGAGGCTGAGCCGAGGTTGTCCTGACATGCCACATGCCACATGCTTGCCAGAAGGGTGAGTCCCAGCTGTTTTTAACCTTCTCTTCTCACACTCTCGCTGATCGCCAGACAAGGAGAGTGTGACCCTTTAAAAAGTTAAGCTGGCTAAACTGTGAGGGTTGTCAGCCCTTTCCAAGGTGGGGCATGAGGCAACTTTGCTCGCTATACTGCATTTAATAATTGGGAAACTGAGGTGTGGTGGCCTGGCCCTACTTCCACAGGACTGGGAGCAAATATGACCTCGCCTGGGTCACAATGGCAGCATTGCCAAGGGAGACCAAATTTTCCAGAGGTACTTAATCTTGGTGGTCTAAAGGCCTTTGAGGAGTGGCTATCAGAAATGAGGGCTCCAGAGATGACTCATGCCCAAAGAGATGGGGTTTAGCAACACACTTTGGATAAATTTACACACTCTCATATGCACACACACACACACTCACCTGGAGGCTGGCTATAAACCTATAAACAGAGCTCTGTTCACATGCTCATGGGATCTCATTCACATGAAAGCCTGGCCATGAGCTCAAACATATATGTAACCCACACGTGAGGTCTCCCATGGCCCTTCACCCAGGGAGAAGCACCCCTACTCTCCTGGCCCCCATGGGCTGGGAGGCCCCATGGTGAATCAGGGGGCCATCACCAAGTGCCTACTCACAGCCCCACTGCTAGTCTGTGACTCAAGACACAACCCAAGACTCCCGATGCCAGAGCCCAGACTGTAGAAATGGAGACACACCCTCTACCATGCAGCCCTTTCTTCTCCCCATCATGTGATGTGCTTCTCAGCCCCTCAATGCATCAGATGGGACTGCAAAGGCAGCACAGGACAGGAACTGGCAAAGGGCTCAAGACTGAAAGAAAGTAGGAAACCCCAGCCCATAGCACCCCATCCTCACCATGCCCCATCCTGGGTTGGCCTGAAGCTAGGGTTGGCCTGGAAACCAGAGCACAGAAGAAAAACAGGGACAGCTCTGCAACCGGCAGGCACACACGAGGCCCTATACACACGTGTTTGCACTCAACTTATAGATGTTCACATGTGCTACACCAAATTCTCCCCCCCCCACCAGACTCATTCCTATCTATAACTAGTGTGGACACACGTTCATACCTGTACATACACATGCACAATGGGATGGGTTTGGGTCGGAGCTGAGAAGATATGGTATAGGTAGGGCTTCATGCTTCTTAGTGGGCCTGGAAGAGGGAGAAGGATACAATGCCTTCCAAGGGTCCCTTATTCCTACCAGCCCTCATCTGGGATTAAGAGGGGTCAGGGCCTAGGGATTTTGTCCAGAAGTGCCAGGTTGGCCAGAGTTTGGGTGCTGAAGCAGGACCTCTCTGTGACTCTTCTCACTGTAGTCAATGTCAATGGCGCCCCCTGGGGCAAAAGACAGAAAGAAGCATGGCTTCACAGAGAAGTGACTGAGCTTGGTAGGGCCAATTCTGAGTCACATAACTTACTTATAGCCCTCTGGGCTCCCTCCTGTGCTTTGGGAAGGAAAATCAATGCCAAGTGTAGGCTAGAAGCCAGCCCACCTGGGAACTCTGAGAGGATGCAGATGAGGAGGAACCACCTCCTCCCAGGGCATCTTGAGCAAGGTCTATGTCTCACCTGGGCGGGAGGGCTGAGCCCAGGAAGGGGCCTTGACGGCCCATCCACCCTGTGGGAGGCTGTGACTCCTTGAGGTCAGAACTGGGGGAGTGGGTTCCCAGGCAAGGGAAGGGCTAGCAATGCAAGTCCCAGCCTGCTGGACTAGAGGGGCTGGTTGGGCCCCTATAAAGTGGGGGAAGGTGGTGACACACCCTTCATTTCCTATCCCCCAAACTCTTTTTGCTTCAATAGAAGCGGTGTGAACCAAGACAAGACACATGGGCCTTGTTGTCAGCAAGTGGGGTGGAGAAGATTGTAGACATTAGAAAATAAGTCATGGTACAGTACCCCCAGCCTCTTTAAATCCCCTAATCTCCTCCAGAGCATTGGAGCAGGATGAGGGGAATGGCAGACCAAAGCAGACATACAGACATTTTCAAATTTAGAAAGCACTTCCTCCCATTTGCAAAACAATCCCCAAAAGTGCATGTATTTCCCCCCCTTTCACAGATGACAAAACTGAGGTCTGGAAAAAAGTCACCTGCTAAGGTCTCAGCCAATAAGTGTTGAGCTGGGATTCAAACCCCAAGGGATTGAAGAGGAGAGGTGAAGAGGGGCAAAGAGGTGGGGGAGCCTCAGGCCCGAGGCACGGGAGGAGCAGGGAGCCAAGACACAGGAACACTCTGAGTCTCTCCACACTTGAGCTCCCATTCTAGAATGTGTCCCACTCTTAGACCACTGCTGGACATTATTCCTGCTCTTAGGCCTCAAGAGTTGGGGGCTGGCTCTGGACTGGAATTGGGAGTGGAGAGCAGAGATGAATCATCCTATTATGAGCGTCCCCAGACTGGGGGGGGGGGGCGGGTGAGTATCTCCTCCTACTGCACCAACAGTCACCCCCTGTCTCCAGACAAGATGGCAGAGAGCCCATGAACACAAACTACCCTCTTGGCACTTCCAGCCAGAAGTCCAGATGGACCTTGAGAAAAATCTACCTTTAGACCCTTATCCTGGGGACTCTGGGTTCACCTTCTAGTATCTCTAAGCTCTTTGTACCCTCTGGAGACAGCAGAGAGTCATAGAGGAGGCAGAGGGATGGGCAGAGGCATGGACTCCTTGCTGAGGAAGGGTCCAGAGCCACAAGGGCTAGGCTCATGGGGCAGAGGCCTCTACCAGACCCAGAATCTCAGCTCTAAGCCTGGCTTGGCCACTGACCAGTCAGGTGACCTAGACAGCTCTCTTCTCCCAGCCCTCAGAGTGTCAGGTTCTTCATCAGTCACATGGAAGTTTCAGATGGAGTCCTCCCATCCCCCACCCCAGGGCCTCTATAAGAATCAAACAAGATTGTGGGTGTTTCAGGCTTTAAAAACTTTATTACATAGTCGACATATGAAGAAAGACTCATTTTAGAAGCTGCATCCTTGATCAGAGCCACATTTCCTCATATATGAATATCCACCTGCATCCATGTGCGTTCTTGGCTGTGTGGATACATGTATCCATGGAGGTCCGCATACACATGAGGACAACCATAGGGTTCTTGCATGCATGTGTGTATCCATTAGGGCCTGTGTGTGCATTTGCATGTTCAAGGGGCTCTGTGTGCATATCTGCGTGTGTGTGTGTCCCTGTCTGGGCCTGGCTGTGGGTCTGGGTCCAGTGTTTACAAAGTAAGCCAGAGATAGAGGACAGGGATCTGTTGAGGAGTCTGGAAACTAACTGGCCAGACACTTGGGCCTGCCCCATGCCAAGCCTGGGGGGAGGGGAGTTAGTGACATGCTGCTGACACAGTCCAGGCAATCACTGTAAACAGGCCTAGGGTGTCTGGAAGGCTCATGTTCACACCTTAGGGATCAGATCCCTGAAACCCCTGGTTTTTCTGTTTTCCTATCTCCTTCTTCACTAGCAGGAAAGCTTCTGGAACAAGGATGGTTGCCTCAAAGGATGAGAGATCAAGACCAGAAGTTGAGGAGAAAGAAAAGCTCATGGGCTTCCTGGGTGGTGGGGGGCGGGGAGGGGGGCACTGAATTAGGGCCTGGCATTTGCCTGGCCACTGCAGCCAGGAAGAGAACATGGAGTTCTTGGGAGGCAGAGGCAACTGGAGGGCTTCCTGGAGGAGGAAACATTTGGCTGGGGATTTTGTGGAGGGTCTTCCAGGTGAGAGCCCGCTGGGCCAGGACCAGTTGGGTATGGCTGCTTGCCTGGTACACGATGAGAGCACCTGTAGTGAAGCCAGACAAGGTCACTGGTAGCACAGGAAGGGCCTTGGGTTCTGTACTATGGGCCTGGGCCTTATGGAGAGGCCAGAGGTATTCAAGCGGTGCTTCTTTAATCCCCAGGGTTCTGAGGAAGCTCTCAATGGGACTGTTGGAGCTGGAAATGGGGAGAAGGAAGACAAGGAGGCACAGCTCTGGCCCCACTTCCTGCTTCGATCACATAATTTTAACCATGGTACATCAGGGTTCTCAACAAGATGAAAACTGACAAATGTTCCACTACTAAGAACAGAAGCTAATGGGAGGCCTGAGGGTTTTAAGCAGGGAAGTGGTAAGGTCTATATTTGCCAATTAATGGAAAGCATTGGAAGGATCCCTCCAGCTGTGAAGTGGCTGATGTATTAGAGGGGAAAGGCTGAGGCCAGGCAGCCTGGAAGGAAGCCACAGAGGGACAGAGGCCAGATGCGGGGCAACAGCTATAGGGAGTGAGGTGGGTTTGAAGTGGGGATTTAGGGGACAGAGCAGAGTAGGGCAGCAAAATTGGAGGGGAGCAGAATTAGATAGGAACTTGAACATGAGATGGGGCCCAGGACAACTGCTCTTTGAGAGGCCTGTGGTCTGAAGGGGATGGGATGGGGGACAGGTGGTGGAAGGAAGCTCTGCACCTGGTATTCCAGAAAGGTCATGGGCACGTGTGAGCCCCAATATTCTCTCCCCTCATCCCAGCTCAGTCTGGATGCTAATTACAGGGCAGCCACCAACTGCCTGCCCCAGGGAGAGGCGTCACAAGAAAGATTTAGGAGAGTAGACAGACTACAGCAGGAGAATCTGCAGTCAGACTTTAGGTATGACTTCCTGGGGATGGCTAGAGCCGGGATCAGTGGGAAATGGACTCCAGGGAGACCCCATGATTGAGAGATAGGAGTGGGAATTTTTGAGGGGGCCGATTGGAGAAAGGCCAAGATGATGTATCTGTCTATCTATGCCATATAATGATTGCCATTGTAGCGATAATTAGACCTCCATCACATAATTGTCCTTTTTCTAGTGGGTGGAATAATTAAGTTCTAGTCTCTTAGCAAGTTCGTGGATTATAATACAATATTGTTGGCTAGGGAGACAGAGTAGATTCAGGCTTGAGCTAAGGTGGACCAGAGTGTGCACACTCCTACCCCTCCCCTGTCCTTGGCTCTGCTGCTCTAGGTTGTGCTAACAGCTTCATTCGACTGCCCTGGGTGGAGAGAGACCAACAAGGCTGGCAGGTGGCCCAGGACAGGGAAGGGGGCCAGGCTTTGCACTCTCCTCTGCCCCATTTTGCAGATCTAGAACTCAGCTTTCGTTCCCTTATTTCTCCTCACCCCAGCCCTGGGATCCAGGAAAGCCCAGGCTCAGCAGCCAGGCCTGGAGCCAGGATGCCTAGATTCTTTGGATCTCCACCTCTAGCTCCCTATGTGACCCTGGAACAAGTTCCTACACCTCTCTGGGCCTCATGCAAACCAGAAAAATTATCCTCCCCATCTTATTTTCAGAAGCTGAAGTGGGAAAGGGAAATGAGTCTCCCTCTGGGTTTGAAACACCTTGGTCCCCATTAGTGCCATGGGCAGTCTAAGAGTCCCGTTCCCCCCACACCGCCTCCTGTCTTTGCAGCAGGATGGGCAAACAGGCTGGCCTCTTCCTGAGTAGGGTAGGGGTGACTCACGTGCCCCAGGCTTCCCCTCCCCTCATCTCTCACCTGGATTAATCTATGACTCACAAAGTAAATACCGGATGTTAGGGGGGTTACATGTGTATTTACTGGGGTGGGGGCACTCAGACTAGCCCAAATCTGAGCAGCCCTCAGGACCTCATTGAATGGGAACTTGCTGCAAGGACCCCTGGGCTTTGGGGTCTTGCTCTTTTTCTCCCAAGGAAGGTGCTAGGCAGAAGAAAATAGTCTATAGCCAAAAGGATTCTGGTTTAAAAATTTAAAAACATTTTTTTAAAGATTTATTTATCTTAGTGATAGAGAGCTACCACGAGTGGGAGGGGGAAAGAGAATCTCAAGCAGACTCCACTGACTGTGAGCAGATCTCACAGCCCTGAGATCATGACCTGAGCCCAAACCCAGTCAGATGCCCAACTGACTGTGCCACCCAGGTGCTCCAAAAGGCTTCTGATTTAGAAGGGATGGTGATACCAGTCAGAAGAGAGGACTCTTTGAGAATTCATTAAATGTAAACTACATAGGCTCAGAAGTTCTGACAGAACTGGCGAAACCAAATCCCAAGAAAAAAGGCTTTATTTAGGGCCATTTAAATAAATCCACAGTAAAAATTTGAGTTTCTGCCTTTTATCTGAGTGTTTTTCCTGACTTGCTCTTCAAAAAGAGATTTCCCCTTTTACAGCGACTCAGAGCTGAAGGCAAAAACCTGCACATACTAGCACATAGACATGTGCACCACACTCCCAACACACAGAGCAGATAAATCACCCCATACGTCAGACAGACTCTCCCCAATCCACATCCACCTGCAAAGTTAGATGCAGAAGCCCAGAGGCAGACATACCCATGGGGATGTAAGCTACATCCTTGTTCACCAGTTCCTTCTAGTCTCTCCTTTCCTTCCAGTGAAGTTCTAGTTCCTCAGGCCACCCACCTTTACCCCCAAGGTCGTCTTAGACCACACTGGCCTCACCTTTCCGGAGAAGACCTGAGGAAAACAGGTCAAAGCTGCAATGTGAGGGGCTGAGACGAGCGTGGGCTTCCAGCTCTCTCCACACCCCATCCCCTAAGCTATGCTGGAGGTGCAGAAAGGATGGGGCGGCTTCTTGGGTCTGAGTTCCAGGCCCTCTTCCCTAACCTCATCATGCACCCTGACAAAGCCGTTTGCATCCCCATTTTAAAAGTGGGGAGGCTGGGCCCTATGAGGGGAGGTGACCTGCCCAGGAACACAGAGAGGTAGCAGGGCCAGGGTTCACTCCCAAGGGGGGCCTATTGCCTGCACCTCTTGGAGCCACTGCTGCAGAATCTGACCTGGGGCAGATTATTCCACACTGGAGTAATCTAGAACTGTGTTTGTGAAAAGGTCAGAAGCCACAAAACTGAAGCTGACCCGAGGATGAAATAGGAGGGTCTGAAACAGCCCAGCAACATCCCTCCTTAGACTAGGGAGGGGCTGTGGAGAAAAATGAATGAGGAGGAGCCAGGGACAACCACAGACTGCAGGTCCATGAAGGCTGGAACTGCATTTCTCTCCCCAACAGTAAAGCCCTGCACACATACGTGTGGCCCTCATGAATCAAGGACACGGAGATGCAGACCCCAGCTCACACAGTGCATCAATGTATTCTCTATGCCTATTTCTAGTCCTATGACAGTGACAGCTAGGGACCGGCACAGGTTCACAAAGACTAACAAAATTGGGACAAAGTGGAGATCAGGGTTCCCATATGTGGCTTATCACCTTAAGGACGAAGCCTGAGAGCCAGGCCTCTGAGTGTCCCCACCGACGGGCCCCTGCCTGATGCTGCACCTGCTCCCTCATCCAGAAGATGAGGATAACTAAGAGCATACTTCACAGGGCTGGTGTTACTGTACAAATTCCCACACAGGAAATAGGTAAAATACCTACCAGCACGCAGCATTTGCTAGGCACTCGGTGGATGTCAGCTGTACCTGAACTCTGGGGCCATGGCTCTCACCTTCACCACCCCGCACACTCAAGGCAGGGGGTACAAATTATGATTCCCTTTCCTTGAAGTCTTCTGGTGGCCCTGCTTGCCCTCCATCTGCCTGGCTGGCTGCCCCTTCTGCACACACCTGTGTCCTACTGGAGCACAGCACTGTCCTCGGTGCCACAAAAACTATGTTCAAACATGTCACCTGCCCCCAAAGAGCTTACATGTAGAGACAAAGTTAAAACTGAAAAATGCAGAAAAGCCAAGATCATGGGGAAATTAAGTGATTTAATTTAAATTTTTTAAAAAAGATTTTATTTGTTTATTCTCATAGAGACACACAGAGAGAGAGAGACGGGGGGCGGGGGCAGAGACACAGGCAGAGGGAGAAGCAGGCTCCACACAGGGAGCCTGACATGGGACTCGATCCCGGGTCTCCAGGATCACGCCCTGGACTGAAGGTGGTGCTAAACTGCTGAGCCACCCAGGCTGCCCCCAAGTGATTTAACTTTAAATCCAAGTTTCAGACAACAGAAAGGTTCACACCACTATAGGCGACTATGAAGTAAACTGAACAATCACTGCTCTCGTGTTTCAGAGGAGAGAGCACCTCAGGCTGGGGGCAAGGGAAGGGTTGGAGGCGGCAGCACTATTTGAGCTGAGTCTGGAGAAACGTCCAGGATTAGGGGAGATGGAAAAGGGAGAGGCTGCCGGAAGTGGGGTGTGGACCAGGTTGAAAAGAGGCAGCACCCCCTCCACCCTGCTCTGGCACTGAGAGCTCCTGAAGACCGGGACTTGGGTCTTGCTCCCCTCTCCACCTCCACTGCAGGAACACAGTGGAGGCAGTTTGAGACATGAATGGGCAGAGAGATGGAGCCTGAGGGGGTAGGGGGGTGCGGGCGAGATGCTGAGCAGCCAGGGGAGCGCTCAGGGCTTTCTGTACCCCTTGCCCCTTCACTCACCTAGCCCCTTCTGCCCTGTGCTTTTCCATGTCCTACCCTCGAAAACAATAGCACCTTGCTCAATGCTGGTATTCTGTGACCCTCAGCAGATCTCACCTTCTCTGGGCCCTATTTAAAGGCCTGACACTACCCCTAAGGACACACTAAGGTCTAGGTGCATACCCTGGTGATGGGAAGGAGATAGAGCCTCAACCCTGGGTACATGTCCTCCTCTCTAAGCTTCTGGAAACATCCTAGGAAGAAAAAAAGCCCAGGCCAGAGCTGAGAGGTGGATGGATCTCTTCGGGTCATTTAGTTCCCTTTCTGAGCTGGCTCACTCTCCTCTCCTGGGAGTTCAGACAAGCCCAGTGGACTCTGTGGAATACCAGGCCCCTGCCCCAATGGTAAAGCACTGGACAGAAAATTAGGGCAGGGCTCTTTTGGGGGGACATCTCAGTGTGTTCAGGCCAGCAGATACTTCGTGAAGGACCTGTACGTAGCAAGGGTAGAGGTAATGCCACTGACATCTTACTCCAGAAGTCTGGAAGTCCCGCTGTCACCTATAGCTTGCTCCTAGGGCTGGAGATCACACTGTCCACCTCTCACTTCGGGCCTCCACAGCCTGTACCAGGCCTTCACCCAAGATGGCAAAGTCCTCCAGGATCGCTTCTACATTGGGCACCATCACCAGCTCCCCACCTCGAGACATCACCATGCGCCCCTTTGTGTTGGAGGCCTAGGGGAACCAGAGAGGAGTCACAAAGACACACCCAGAGACAATAAATGGGAGTGGGGTGGGGGGTGGGGGTGGAGAGGAACAGCAATAATGGAGAGAGACACACAACACACGTGCTTCGCATGTGACCTGTGGTCGCTTGGGGAGCATGCCACGTACAGACATACATGCCCACATGGAACCACATGTACACCCTCAGGAACACATGGGTTATCACCAGTCAGCACACCTTGAAGGGCTGGGGCTGGAAGCTGGTGGGCTTCCAGAGAACACCGATCACCTCTCCACCATGCTGGTCATAGAAGAAAAGGGCCAGGTCCCCAAAGGCCTCCTAGGAAAGGGCAGGACATAGATAAAACTACAGGTGGACACCTGAGAGCCCCCTCCATGGCCCCAGGTTCACCTGGATGTCCCCTCCCCCGGTTTAGTCAGCCCTTTAGGACCTACCCTGAGCTGTGCCAGATAGAGCTGAGGAGGATCATAGCCTAGCACAGGCATCAGGGAACAGGGCCCTGGCTCACTGAGCAGGCCACGGCAGAAGGAGGCAGCTGGTGAGTCCACGGCTTGGCGGTGCCGGGGGATGTGGCGGGGAGACAGGCGGATCAGCACATCATACATATCCAGGGGTGGCCGGAACACTGTCTGAGGAAGGGTAGGAAGGGGTCAGCAGCACCCACTGGGAGATGGACCACAAAGTCTCTACAAGCCCACTTTGGTTTTCTCCTTTCCTTTTTTCTGACCGCCCCCCAATTAAGAATCCAAATCTTCATCTGAAGATGGGAACAGAACCACAGCTGGGGTCAGCTTCAATCCATCAGGAGGAGCATAGGCTGGAAACATTAGGCCTGGATAGAGCCAGGCCCTGGTTTTCCTATAGGCTCCACCACTGTCAGGCACCATGGGCAGCTTCAATGCCTTTTCTGGATTCAGTCACAGCAAACGAGGAGACTGAGCATCCATGAGAGGCCCTACAGCTCCAGACTTCCAACGTTCAAAGGCAAGAATCCCCAGTTACCCATGGTCAGGGGCTTACCCGGATATCGCCAGGCCCCTGGGGATCCATTAGCTGCTTCTCTAGGACAGGCAAGGCCTCAGCTGCCAGGACCACAAGCTGCTGTAGGATCTGGGTGGGGGAGGGGAGTACACGTACATCAAATAGATCAGACTTAACAACAGGTCTCTTAGTTCAGGCTGGGCCTACTTTTTCCATGGGGGAAGAAAAACACAAATTTGGAGGTAGGAATAGGATTGAACCTGGGGTGAGGGTCCATCCTGTGTCCATACAGAGTTTTTACGATCCTGGGGGGTAACGATGACCATGACTGGGAGTTGTGTCCGAGCTGCCAGGAAGCCACTACGGATCTCCGCCTGCTCCTCCACTGTGAACAAGAGGGGGTCCTGGGTCAGCCTGCTCCTTTCCCCTGACATGCTCTGCTGCCCCAGGTCTTCTGGTGACCCATCACAGGGATTTTTCAATGGCCCTCCCGCAAGACACAAAGGCAATGAAAAGGACACCATGTTTGTCTCCATTGGGTAGGGCATTAAACTCTCAAGCTCAGCCCAGAGGCAGAATTTTCCACTGCCTGGCACCCCAGTCTAGTTTCCGGGCTTGCACAAGCTGAGGCCTGCCCTTGACCCCCTCCAACCCTATGCTCCCACACACCTGGGGAATTAGGAAGCTGACACCTTCCTCTCTGCCGGGACCAGGAGCTCCTCATGTTACAACTAGAAACCATCACCCCCACTCCCCAAGAGGTCGAGGCATCTTTCTCTAATCCGGGCCCTTCCCAGCTCCCCACAAGCCTTCTCACCTAGTGCTCAGGGTACCCTTCTACTCTCCTCCCCCCTTCACCACTCTCACTAGGTAGCCTGCTTACCACCTCCAGCCTGTTCTGTTTCTGATCATCGTACAAGCAAACTGTAGCTCTACAGTCTCAGAACTCCCTAAGGCCTCGAACTGGGTCTCTTCCTCCTAATAACTCCCCACCCCCAAGCCATCAGGGTCAGGCACACACACACAAACACTTCTCAGACTGACAAGGAAAACCCTGTGCACCCTACTCTGCCATCCACAAAGGGTCGTTCCTGCAGTAGTCTGTCTCCAGTCCTATCACTTACCAGTGAGCTCGTTGTTAAGGTTGACAATAAGAGGGTTGTTCCTCCAATCAAAGGTTGATATCAAAAAAAGGAACCGAAGGAAGCCCACCTGGGGGGAGCTAAGAAGGAAGAGTGAGCAGAGTCTGGGTCCAACCACCCATCCTAAGGCTTTCCTCATGGTCTAGACAGCCTAGACCCCTTGGCATGGATTAGGGAGACAAGGGGTGTCTTAGAACCTCTTTTGTCACTTGTTTCAGCTACCCTCCTCCATTTGGATTGAAGGTACAGCCTAAGGGATGAAAGGTGGCCCTAAGGGGAGCTTTCTGGCTAGGGAAAAGATGGAGGGAATCACCTGGGAGGGGTGAAGGGCTCAGGGTGCAGGAAAAGAGCAGCAACCACAAGGTCCAGGCTTTCATCACTGAGCCCCTCACCCAGAAGCTGGGCGCGCACCCATCGCTTGGCCAGCCGTGCCACACCTGAGAAGGCTGGGTGCTGCTGCTGGAGCCTGTAGAAGGGAAAGAGAGTAGTGACAATGAGACTCGGGCCATCAAGGCCCAAGAACCATATTTCAGCTTCACCACCACTATCTACTCAACCTTTACCTGAAATTACCCTCTGTGCTGATCCATGCTATGCAGAATCTCACATACCCCTAACTAATGCCAACAGGTTAGCCAGTGAAGTCGCAGGGTGAGGGTTCTAGAATTTGCCAGACTCCATAATTCATATCCCTATTATACTATCTGGCCTCCCAGAAAGGCAGGTGGCCAGGAAAGCAAAATGGGAGCAGGGAAGGATCCACAGGCAAAAGAACCTGTGCAGGCGGCCATACCCATGCAAGGCACTGGTGAGCAAGGGCAAATGCCTTGTGTCCCTCTCAAGGTGGATGGAGGCAGGTGTATCCCTCAATGAGATCATCCCCTCGGGGCTTCGCATTTCCCTCAGGATCTGGGGCTCCCGCTGATAGGCCACACGAATCCGGAACACGAACCCATCCTGTTGAAAGAAGTATGGGGTGGGAGATGCATGTCAGCCTGCAGCACCCTAACACCCTATCTCTTCCCTCTCCGGAGAATCCCTACCCTGCACCAGCCTAACCTTGAGGACATCAGTGTGTGTGGCCGTGGCACGACACCGCAGCCCATGCTGTTGCATGAGCAGCTCTGCTAGGCGCAGCTGGAAAGCAGCTCGGACCCGCCGTATGGCCTCAGCATCCTGTGGCCACTGACCACTGCCCTCCAGGTGACATACCACTAGAAAGAAAAGTAGGAGGTCTCGAGACTGTGACATGGAATGGGAAGGGTTCCTCTCATCCTTCCTAAGAGGCTCCTCACCGGTCATGGGCTCCACATAGGCTGGACAGGGCTTGTCGGGCCGGGGTAACAGCGAGGCCCGCTCTCGCAGGTGCTCATAGAAGGAGTAGGCTGGCCGGACTGGGGTTGGTGGGAACACCTATGGAAGCAGCAGGGCTAAGGAAGGGGCCTGGGACTGGGAGAGAGTGAACATATGAACTGGAAGGGGGAATAATGGTAGGTGGGGCAGAGGAAAGAGGTCACGAAAGGGCTCCCTGCCCTTCACACCTCACCTCAGTGTAGCGCAGCACCGGGTGAGCTCCCTGCACAGCAGACACAGTCAGTGGGAGACCTTCCAGCCCCCACAGGAGGCGGCTGAGGTCATCGTAACAACGTACTGCTGCTGCCAGAGCCTCCTCACCTGTGCTGGAGGTCTGAGAAGGAGAACATGGTCAGGGAGCCAGGATGCTATAGAACATCCCCCACACAAAACTACCACCACCACCTGGGACTGTGCCACAGCCCAGGCTGCATAGAGCCAGCACCCCCTCTGTTGGACACTATGGGAAGTGCAGTTGGGCTGAGGTTGCAACTCTCCACCCACATGCTAAGTTGCAACCCCTGGCTTGATCCCATCCCTGACACATGACCATTACCTCTTTTGGGCTTTGGATCAATGCGTCCAGAAGGCCCCCCACATAGTGGACACAGGTATCTGGGATGTTGGCATGGCTGGGAAAAGGGGTACAGCACAGACTCAGTGTGGGCTGAGCAGCTGCTGAGACATTAGCTGCTCAGCACAAAGCCTGGGCCAGACCCTCCTAAAAGGTTCCCCAGTCTGTTGCTGCTTCCCAGCATCCAGATGCTAACACTCACAGTGCCAAGAGGTGAGTGACCACCTGGTGGGGAATAAGGCGTTTCTGGGCCATAGAGGCTGCCTCCCAGACTACAGCTTCCCGAATGGCTCCGTCCTGGAAACGCCGAAGCTCTGAGCGAGATCCCCAGAACTGGCGGAAGTCAGCAGCCTGAACAAAGGCAATGGGTGGTAGGAGAAATCAGATTTTCTATCAGAAATCTCTGACAGGCTGCAATCCAAGTGGCATGGGAATTATCCATACCATTTCTGCCAGCACACAACAGACTCCCCGAAACAGGGCCAAGTCATCCCCCAAGACCCCAGGGCTTCTCACCTCAGGCTGGTTGGCCTCTGGACCCAGCTCAAGGACACTTGTCAGCCCCTCAGGCCGGAGGAGCAATCCCAGGGTCAAGGTCCCAGAGTCTCTGTGCTTTGGTGGATCTTGGCTGATGTCCCACTATAGGGTGCAAAAAGGCTGAGCTCAACCCAAGGATGCCCCAGCTTGGTCTGCAAACCACTTTCCAACTAGGTAGAAAGATCTAGCTACAGGAATGGGGTCTTTTATATCCCCTGGGACCCCAGATCTAGTCCCCCTTAAACCACAAATTCCCAGGGCATCTGGGAGTCTCAGTGGTTGAGTGTCTGCCTTAGGCTCAGGTTGTGATCTGGGGTCCTGAGATCTAGTCCTACATCAGGGAGCCTACTTCTCCCGCTATGTCTCTGTCTCTCTCTTTGTGTCTCTCATGAATAAAAAATAAAATCTTTAAAATAAATAAACAAACCCACAAACTCCCCATCCCACAGCACCTCACCTCTGAGACTGGGGGCCGAGAATGAGCCAGCAGGTGCAGGCGGGACCCCAGACCCTGCTCCAGGAGGGGGGTCAGTGCGCCCAAAGCAGCTGAAACATAGTCCCCACCAAGATCCTGCAGCTCTGGCCACAGCTTTAGCCGGTGACATGCTGCCTGCAGACGACTCAGTGGATGGAGACTAGAGGGGCACAAAGAGACAAAGAGACAGAATGAAGTATTGCTGACCCCAAATACCACCCCTCCCAAAACCAGGAAGATCTGAACACCTCCCTGAGCACCTCTACCCCATCAGTGTAGCCTTAGGGAAAAAGGACCCACTGACATAGCCTGCCTGCCCTAAACTTACTGCAAAACATGGTCAAAAGCCCGGATCATGGGTTTTGGAGTCATCAGCAGAAGCTGGAATCCGTCATCGGTTCTACTGTCCAGCAATGCCATAGACAGCCGTGCCTCATGCTGTACCTGCGGCCATGGGGTAAACAGGGAACTCACATGTGAGACTATCACAACTATACCCTCCCTTCATGGACCTGACGGCTCAGACCAAGAGACATGCCTAACCTAAGTTCTCTGGAGAGGAATTTCTGGGGCTCTGGTACTGGCAGAAGGGATGGAATCTGGATTGGGACATCAGGGGTACCCCGGAATGGGGGACAATCGGTACCTGGTGGTAAGTAGAGGCAGTAACATCAGCACAGAGATTGAGATAGCCTGAGGAATCCAGGAAGACAACAGGGAAGGCCTGGTGGAAGTCAGCCAGGGCCGGCTGGGAGGCAGAGAGAGAAGCCAGTCAGGACTGGGGACTTACCTTCAAGCCTCCTTGCCCAGACCCAGCCCTGCCCCACTCACCAAGGAGGGATCTGAGCTGAGACATAAGCTGATCCCGTTGACTGTTAAATCTGTGGTGGCTGAAGTGAGCCAGAGGTATGTCAGAAGGTGTCCTCCTTCCAGGGGATCCAGCCCTAATGACACTATCCCTCCGGTCAAGTGGCTGCAACTGCCTGCCTCTAGAATTCAATCTGCTCATCTGTCTCATGGCAAGAAACTGAATGATCCCTGATACGATGAGAGGATTCATAGGAAGAGTGAAACCCTTGACCTTTCCGAGTCCCACCACCTTACCCAGAAACTGCAAGGCACTCCTCAGGACCTGGTAGCCACTCATGGTGGTGTGGATCTTGCGTGTGGACACAAGGAAGGCAACCAGCATGGAGACAAGGAACCCACTGAACCCTCCTAGGCCCTGAAAAAAAAGATGCAGAGAGAGGCGTGAGCTCAGGGCCAGCCTGCTACTCAGTAAGGCAGGAAAGCTGGGCCACTTGCAACTCACCTTGTCCAGTTCCCGCTGCCGCAACCAGACCTTCAGAAGTGCCACACCATCCTTCAGCCCCAAGGCTGAGCCCAGCACTGTGGACAGCAGCTGCACATGGGACTCAAGGGTCATGTCCTGCAGGACCCATGTATTATAGTGGGGGGTGGGAGGCTCTGGGCTACCTGAGGGAGAGGAGAAGCCATGAGAGGAGAAATCCCCACAACATCCTTCCCTTCAGCTCCACCTGGATACCAGGGCCTGCTTACCATCCCCTGGGGGACTCTGCCCTCGGTACCAGGCAGAGCGCACATTGTTCTTAGATGGCAACAGGCGGCACGGGCGGAAGAAGTCAGGTGGAGGGCATGGATGCAGACGTACAGTGACCAGGCGCTCATCCTTCCCTGAGGGAGACAGAGAGTGATCAGATCTGCCATGTGGGCCCCTGTGGCACCCTCTTCCTACCTGAGGGCCCATGCCCTCCCACCTTAGATTCTGAGGTCCTTATACCTTCCCCCCAAAACTTGAGGCCCAAACTTCTCACCTTGGATTTGAGGCCTCCATATCTCCCCCACTAAATCTGTCATCCCATACTGTGCCTTCAGCCCAGTGTGTGCCTCTCACCACGTGGCCGAAGCAGCAGCGAGGGTTTCAAGTGACAGCCATTGGTGTAGGAGAAGTGAACACTGCCAAAGAGAGGGTCTTGGCCCAGGTGGTGAGCCAAGTGGGCCAGGTAGAGAGCACGCTTGCGGAAGTAACGCTGGTTCAACCCATCTTTGTCCTGTAGGATCTCCTGGAGAGAGTCAGGAGAAGGGGGAGATGACCAGTCCCGTCAGTACTATTATTAGATGGCTTGTGGGGCCAGGAGGAAGCCAAGGTGAATCACAGTTTAGAAACCTCAGGGATTTTTGCTGGCTGGAGTGTTTGAACCAGGACTAACAATATACTTAGTTCTCAGATGAGAAGGCAAAGTTCCAAAGGGTAGCAACTGACCCAAGGGCACATTTAAACTGCCCTCAAGAAGACAGCAGGGGTCTGCTCTCTTTTGATTTCCAGTTCAGATTTCAATCACCTGGCCAGTGGCAGGTGGGAAAGAAAGAGGGACCCAGGAATTTGTAGGTGGTAAAGGAGCAGGCCTCTCCATCCCCCAAATACTGGACCTTACCCTGGGCATGGTCACTGCCATGTCCACATTGATGTCCGGCCGGACACAGGTGCCCAGAAGGTAGCTGCCCACAACAGTGACCTGAGACGGAGGCAGGAAGCAAAAACAGCCCTTCACAGTATAGGGCACTTGGTGGAGGGGAACTCGAACCCCAGCTGGGAGCCAAGTCTGGTCAGTCAGCTGTGGGGAAAGACAGTGATACGTATTAATTTCATTGCCTTCCGGACACGTCCCCTTGATGTCTAGTAGACATATCACATTAAATGCATCAACACATTTGAAAACAAACTCCTCGTCCTTCTGTAAACATGTCCTCCCCATTAAGGAAACTTCATACTAGTTGTTCAAGCACAAAACATGTAAATCACTTGACTCATCTCTGTTGAGAATACCCATTTCACTGTCAAGAGCATCCAGGCACTGACCGCTTCTGTACTTCTCTATCCTAGTATGAGATGCCACCACTTTCCAGGGGATTACCACATAATAGGTTTCTAACTAATCTCCCGGATTTTACCTGTATTCTCCTCCATTCTACTTTCAACACAACAGTCTAAATGAACTTTTTAAAAATGAGGTGAGATCACACCACTGCGCTACCAAAAAATGTACACAGTCAGCGGTTTCTCATATCACCCAGAGCAAAGGCAAAGTCCCTGTTTCAGTGTACAAGGCCCTATGTGAAATGTCTCCTTCCTCCATTGCCTTTCTGAACTCGTCTCTTATTTTCCCTTCATTCAGTCCAAGCAACATATCAGGCTTACTCCTGCCTTTGAGCTTTTGTGGTGTTTATTTCCCCTTCCTGCCATGCTCTTCCTCCTTTAGATATCTATATGGCTGACTCATTTCCTTCAGATCTTCACACTAATGTCACTTCAATAAGGCCTATCTCAACCACCTTATTTAAATTTGCAAAGCAGGGATGCCTGAGTGGCTCAGCAGTTAAGTGTCTGCCTTTGGCTCGGGGCATGATCCTGGAATCCCGGGATCAAGTCCCACATAGGGCTCCCTGCATGGAGCCTGCTTCTCCTTCTGCCTATGTCTCTGCCTCTCTCTCTCTCTCTCTCATGAATAAATAAATAAAATATTTAAAATAAATAAATAAATTTGCAAACCACTCCCATCTTCCGATATCCCCACAATCCCCTCACCTCGCCCTACTTTCTCCTTTTCCTGTACTGCTTACTGTTTTCTAACATTGCTACACAGTTTACCTGTCACGTTTATCATCTACTATCCATAAGCCCAACACTAGAAAATAGACAGCTTGTGTTCACTGATGTGTCCTAAGAATGTAACTGCTACAAAGAACATAAGCTTTTGCTGAACAAATGCACAAGTGGTTGACTGTACTTCCAGTGGCAATGAAAATGAGCTCCCTAGCACCCCTCTGGCAAAGAGAAAAGCTGTTTCAGATGCCTACATGGAGGACCTCTCCTAGGCTTTCCAGTTCTTCTCACTGCCTGCTTTACCTCTCTCTTAGGAGTTGAGGGCACCCTGAGGACCCTCTGGTTGACCTCCCGTAGGAAAGCATCAATCCGCTCCTTCTTCTTCTCTGGCAGCCTCACTTCCTTTAGTAGCTCCTCTACCTGTAAGAAGAGACAGCAGAGAGTCCTTCAGCTTCAGGGTTCCAGGCCCACGCCTCTAATCAAAGCCCCAGCCACCCAATAGTACCTGTAAACGAAGCAAGCTGGAGTGGAATAGACTCTCAGTCTCCCGAAGACGATTCAGCTCCTCATTGGTAGGCTCCTTATACAGTTCTGCCTGGCTAAGCTTCACTGGCTGCAGGAGGCCCTCCACTGGAGACCCAGACAGGGTATGCTTCTTTGAGGACTCCTTCTTTCCCTCCTTGCCTGTGCCTTCCAGAGCTAGTTCCATTACCTGTGGCCAGTGAGGAGAGAAGCCACTGTGAGGTCACAGACATCAAACATCCACTGCCAGAAGTGCCACCATAATGGGATGTGGGCAAAAACTTCACAAGCTCCTGTTCATTCTTTTGAATGGGAGCCAGACTGTAAAACTTAGGATTATCATTACTTAGAAGAATGTTACTAAGCTCTAGGCTGAAATTCCTTGAATTGAGGGCTCCCTGTCTATGTGACAGCACAAGCATGGAGCTCTGCCTGGAGTTGACAGGGTTAGTAGTTGACTGAGTCCTGACCTAAACAATGCCTGAGCTTCTTGTATTTCCAGGTACCATGCATCAGGGAGCTTCCTCTTCTGCTAGATTAGTCCTGGGAACCTGCAAATGCCATCTCCACTCTTGCTCTATCCAAATCCTGCCAGGCTCTACCCCTGCCAGCAAGCCCTGACTATAGACTACATCAGTATAATGTTAAGTGGCCAAATGTTGGAAAGAGCTGGAATCTACTGCCTCTGTAAAATATACTCAGTATGTCATCCAATCCTCAGTAATCCTGGCAGAAAATGCACACTTGAAAGAAGTCTCCTGAGCTGGATTCCACAGTTAGTATGCATTTTTTTTTTTTTTTAAGATTTTATTTACTGGTTGCCTGGGTGGCTCAGTGGTTGAGCCTCTGCCTTCCGCCCAGTGGTGATCCTGGAGTCCCAGGATCGAGTCCCACATCGGCCTCCCTGTATGGAGCCCGCTTCTCCCTCTGCCTATGTCTCTGCCTCTCTCATGAATAAATAAATAAAATATTCATGAATAAATAAATTAAATATTCATGAGAGAGAGAGAGAGAGAGAGAGAGAGAGAGAGGCAGAGACAAAGGCAGAGGGAAAAGCAGGCTCCCCGCAGGGAGCCCGATGCGGGATCCCAGGATCACGATCTAGGCCAAAGGCAGAAACGCAATCACTGAGCCACTCAGATGCCCAGGATGCCTATTGTGTAAGCAGGCTTCACACCCTGGTCTGCAGGGTCTCAAACCTTCTCCCCTACAGCCCTGGGCCCCGCCCCCACTCCACGTTCCTACACGGGGAGAGTCTCACTGAAGGATCCCAGAAGCACCACCATGTGCCCTCTGTTAGAGCAGCGAGCACAGAAGTGGGCTCAAGGGATTAGAAGGTCTCGCAGAATGACGAGGAGAAGGACCTGGTTAGGAAAATGATCCACGCCGCGGGGGTCTCTTCAACTTCCAGGTGAGAGCTCTCGAAGGAAAAGGCTCAAGAAGCTTTACCGCTTCTATCCAAATAACGCAAGTTCCCATCCCCCCCGACTGTCTCGGTGCCCCAGACTGGAAATGTGGGGGAATAAGACTCCTCCAGGACGGACTGCCTCGGCGCCCCTGGCCGGCGAGCTGCCAGGCTCTGCCAGCTCGGGCAGGTAGAAAGCACTCCTTCCTGCCGGAGGGCTCACCCACCTCTGGCTCCCCAGCAACTCCGCGATCCTGGGCTCCCGCAGGCGCTGGCCCCATAACTCCGGGCCCAGGTCTTGCTCCAGTACTTCGGGTAGGAAGCCCACGTGCTCGGCACAACTTCTTCCCACGTCGGCAGAAGTGCGGAAGCCCTCCGCACAATTACCGAAGCCTGGCAGCGGAACCGCAGACGACTTGCGAGAAAGTTGCCGCAGCCCCGCGGTAAACTCCCCGCGCCGCGTGGGGACAAGCCTCGTGCCGCAGGACTCCGCCCCGCTCCGGAACCATTGGGTGAGCGCTCGAAGGGCCGCTCGCCATTGGTACCTGTCACTCTCCAGGCCCGCCCACCGAGGGGGAGGAGCCAAGCCGGCTTCTCCCATTTACGGTCTCTTTGCGACGCCAGACCGGAAGCCTGCCTGTAGCTTAGCGGTCGCTTTCTTTCCCTCACTTCCGCAGCTTGCGTCGAAAGGGGAAGGGCGGGGCTAGCTTGGGCGCTCGGGGCTGTTGGTTCACGCCGCCGATTCCTGTCCGTCTCATCCACCACGTCTTACCCAATCACCAGCTTCGTCAGTTCTGCCTTCAAAATATATTTTAAATTCATTCATTCTCTTCTGTCTTTAGTACCAAATTTAGTTCAAGTCAAATCGCCTTGTGCCTCGATTATAAGAGCTTCTCCAGTTTATTTTTAAGTTTTCCAAAACTACCAAAACAGTGTAATAATATAGTGAACATATATCCTTCAGGTACCCATCCTTAGTGTTTGTTTTGTCAAATTTGTCTTGTCTTTAGGTATTTATAAACTCTTCTGCAGAACCACTTGAGAATTCCTTCGCCCACATCCCTGAGTACTTCGGCATATATGTACTAAGGAGAAGGACTAATTAGAATCCACTTATAAAATCATAGTCCGTTTATCAAATTTAACTTTGATTCAATACTATTCAAATTTTGCTGATTATCCCAATAATATCCTTTACATGGTAGCATTTTATTTCTTGATGCAAGAGCATGCATCAATTTAGTTGTCATGTTTCTTTTCTCTATCTTAATCTAAGAACATTTGGGGAACTCTCCCTTTTTTGGTCTTCTATAACAACATGTTTGAAGTATAGGACAATCTCATTCAATAGCTTTTTTGTACAATATACATATACACATATGTGTACATATGTGTGTAATTGCAGAATGCATAACATGCATATATAAAATTACATGTATATGTATATAGAATTATAGGTATGCATATAATTATGCAAATGTGTGATTGTGTATACGTATAATTATATATATATACATACACGAAAATTACATAAGGGTACAGCTTGAATATTCATAAACCAAATATACCCATGTAACCAGCTCCCAGAAAAGAAACAGAAGATTTCTTGAAACTTTAGAATTTCTCTTCATTTTGCCATCTAATCATTATGCTCCAACAGTACCTACTATCCTGACTTGTATGTGCACAGATTAATTCATGCAATACCTTTAAAAAATTTTTTTAATTTTTATTTATTTATGATAGTCACAGAGAGAGAGAGGCAGAGACACAGGCAGAGGGAGAAGCAGGCTCCATGCACTGGGAGCCCGACGTGGGATTCGATCCCGGGTCTCCAGGATCGCGCCCTGGGCCAAAGGCAGGCGCCAAACTGCTGCGCCACCCAGGGATCCCTATGCAATACCTTTTAAAGGAATTTTTCACAAGGGTGGTCTTGTCCTTTGATCCCTTTCCACGTGGTTGCCAGAATTTAAAAAATAAAATAAAATAAAATAAGGGCAGCCTGGGTGGCTCAGTGATTTGGTGCCACCTTTGGCCCAGGGCCTGATCCTGGAGACCTGGGATCCAGTCCCACGTCAGGCTCCCTACATGGAGCCTGCTTCTCCCTCTGTGTCTCTGCCTATCTGTGTGTGTGTGTGTGTGTGTGTGTGTGTGTGTGTGTGTGTGTGTGTCTCATGAATAAATAAATAAAATCTTTTAAAAAAACGATCCCAGGGTCTTGGAATTGAGCCCAGCATCAAGCTTCCTGCTCAGCAGGGAAGTCTGCTTCTCCTTCTCCCTCTGTGCATTCTCTCTCTCTTTCTCCTTTTCTCTCTCATTCCTCCTCAAGTAAGTAAATAAAATCATTTTTTTAAAAAAGAAATATAAACTGGATCTAAGCTGTTTGCTCTGTCTAGAATGCTTTTTCATGACTTTTTCTCTTTTTCATCCTTCAGTTCTCAGGATAAGTATCACCTGTGTAGTTAGGCTTTCCCTGATCCTCTAAACTGAAATATATTTTCCCTTATCATTCCATTTATTTCCTTTTTTAAAAAATAAGCTTTGATTGTTTATCAATTATCTTTTTTTCCTTGACTGTAAATCCATGAAAACAAGGACCAGGTCTACATAGCCAATGCCTAGCACACTGTACATACTCAATAAATGCTTACTGAATGAATAAAAGAATGAATGAAGCCAATGTCAACCTTCCAGCCTTGTGTCTTACCATTGTTTCTGTCAAACTTTATGCCCTCGCTATATTGAAGTACTTAGATTTTCTCTACTATCTTGCTTTTATGTCCTGGGCCTTTGAACTTGCTGCCCTTTTTGCTCAGTGTTTTGATTTTTCCCCCAGCTTTATTGAGATATAATTATTGTATAACCTTAAGTTTAAGGTATACAATGTGATAATTTGTTACATGTATATGTTGCAAAATGATTACTACAATAAGGTTAGTTAACACATTTAACACATCCTTCACTTCACATAATTACCATATGTTGTTATTGTTATGGTAAGAACATTTAAGATCTATTCTCTTAGCACCTTTTTTTTTTTAAAGATTTTTATTTATTTATTCATGAGAGACACAGAGACACAGGCAGAGGAAGAAGCAGGCCCTATGCAGGGAGCCTGATGTGGGACTCGATCCCGGGGACTCCAGGATCATGCCCTGGGCGGAAGGCAGATGCTAAACTGCTGAGCCACCCAGGTGTCCTTCAATACAGTATTGTTAACTATAGTCACTGTGCTGTACATTAGATCCCCAGAAACTTATTTCTCTTATAACTGGAAGTTTGTATCCTTTAACCAATATCTCCTCATTTCCCCTACTATCACCTGGCAACCACAATCTACTCTGTTTCTATAAGTTTGGCTTTTTTATTTTTTTTTAAGATTTTATTTATTTATTCATGAGAGAGAGATACACAGAGAGAGACAACCACAATTCACTCTGTTTCTATAAGTTTGGCTTTTTAATTTTTTTAAATATTTTATTTATTTATTCATGAGACACACACACACACACACACACACACACAGAGGTAGAGACACAGGCAGAGGGAGAAGCAGGCTCCATGCAGTGAGCCCGATGTGGGACTCGATACTGGGACTCTGGGATCACACCGTGAGCCGAATGCAGACGCCCGACTGCAGAGCCACCCAGGCGTCCCAAGTTTGGCTTTTTTAGATTCCACATATAAGTAAGATGACTCAGCATTTGTCTTTCTCTGACTTATTGCACTTAGCTTAATGCTGTCAATGTTCATCAATATTGTCACAAATGGCATGATTTCCTTCTTCATGGCTGGAGAATGTTTTGTTAAACAAGATTTCCTAGAGGAGATGGATTTGTGCTAAGTCTTGAAGTATAATTTGACTTTGAATTGACGGAGAAGAGGAAGCAGCACTGTTGAAGTATGATCAAGCACTGAAGATTAGAGAGATAAGTCAACCACTCATTCCATACTGAGTGACACTTAAGAAATGGCAAGCACTATGCTCAGTGTCAAGAATAGAGAGATAAATAGGACATGATGATAGGGCGCCTGGGTGACTCAGTGGTTGAGCATCTGCCTTTGGCTTGGGGTGTCGTCCCTGGGTCCTGGGATCGAGTCCCACATCGGGCTCCCTGCATGGAGCCTGCTTCTCCCTCTGCCTAGGTCTCTGCCTCTCCCTGTGTCTCTCATGAATGGATAAATAAAATCTTTAAAAAAAGAAAAAAAAGGGATCCCTGGGTGGTGCAGCGGTTTAGCGCCTGCCTTTGGCCCAGGGCGCGATCCTGGAGACCCGGGATCGAATTCCACGTCGGGCTCCCGGTGCATGGAGCCTGCTTCTCCCTCTGCCTGTGTCTCTGCCCCTCTCTCTCTCACTGTGTGCCTATCATAAATAAAAAAAATAAATAAAAATAAAAAAAATTAAAAAAGAAAAAAAAGACATGATGATCACAAGCCAGAAATCAGGAATTGTGTTCTTGCCCTCACGTTTTACAGGCTGGCCCTCTATGCAATTAAAAAAAAAAAAATGCAGCTTTTGACTTTTATTCAGGAGACCAGCTGGGTTGCCCCGGGATCCGGTTGCCAACCCTGGGGCCAAGCAAGGCTGGAAACCCACATCTGGCCTCATTTCACCCTGAGCTGCAGCCTCAACTCCAGGAACCTGCTTGCCACCACTGCAAGTGCAGGTAGAGGGAGCCCGGTGAGAACTGGATGTTGCTATTGACTCATTTAAAAAAAAAGAAAGAAAAAACAAACAAACAAACAAAAAAATAACAAAACCAACCAACCAACCAAACTCATTCTATTGATTTTGGGTTTTTTTCTTAAACAAAAAAATCAAAATACACTAAGATTCCGTGCTCCCCATGACCAGTGGACCTGGTGGGGGGCAGCATGACCCCCCCCTCCTACAACCACATAATTTCTGTATAACCCACCATCTGGGGCAGAGGATGGGCACATGGAGGCCATTGGCCCTTGTATTCATTTAAATGTAATCTCACAAAGGTTTATTCTGTCCTTGTTCTACCTTCATTTAAAATTTGCCTTTACCCCTGGTGTACCTGGTTGCTCAGTCGGTAGAGCTGGCAACTTTTGATCTCGGAGGTTGTGAGTTTGAGCCAACGTTGGGTGTAGAGATTACTTAAAAATAAAATCTTAAGGGACACATAGGTGGCTCAGTCAGTTAAGTATCTGACTGTTGATTTTCGCTCAGGTCATGATCTCACGGTTGCGAGATCAAGCCTTGTTATGGGCTCCGTGGTGAGCGTGAAGCCTGCTTAAAATTCTCTCTCTCCCTCTGCCCCACTCCCCTTTCTAAAATAAATAAAATAAAGTCTTTTTTAAAATTGCATTCATTGGGCAGCCCGGGTGGCTCAGAGGTTTAGCACCACCTTCGGCCCAGGGTGTGACCCTGGAGACCCGGGATCCAGTCCCACATCGGGCTCCCTGCATAGAACGTGTTTCTCCCTCTGCCTGTGTCTCTGCCTCTCTCAATCCGTGTTTCTCATGAATAAATAAATAAAATATTTTTTATAAATAAAATATTTTTTAAAAAATTGCATTCATCCCCCCCAAAAAAGAATAGTAAAAAGTAAAATTGCATTCACCCCAACATTTTCAGTTTTAGGCCCTACTTTAATCATCTTCATTAGTATTCACCAAAACTTGCAATGATATTATTTATCTAGTAATTACTTGTTTTTGTGTGATTAAGTCTCAGCAACTAGAATGTAAGCTCCTTGAAGGCATAATTAAATAATTTCCAACTTGTTCACTACTGTATCCTTGGTATTTAGCATAGGGCCGGTCACCTAGCAGGCACTCAAAAAATATTTGTTGAGTGAATGAATGGCTCTTTCTTAAGAGCACCTGAGAGGCTGGGAGAAAGATGTAAACAAATAATTGCAATATAGCATGGAGGTGATATGATATGCATGGATTGCTATGGGCATATTAGCTTAGGAATATTACAGTACTTTGGTTAAGAACAGTCACACTTCGGGCATTAAAGAGGACACGTGGAAGACCTGGGTGGCTCAGTGGTTGGGTGCCTGCTTGCCTTTGGCTTGGAGTGTGATCTTGGAGTCCAGGGATCAAGTCCCCCATATCAGGCTTCCTGCATGGAGCCTACTTCTCTTTCTGCCTATGTCTCTGCCTCACTCTCTGTCTCTCATGAATAAGTAAATAAAATCTTTTTAAAGAAAAGAGGACATGGGATGTGATGAGCACTGGGTGTTATAATATATGATGGCAAAGAATTTAAATTAAAAAACAATTAATTAAAGAAAAGAATCATGGAAGGATAACTGGGTAAGAAATCCAATAACCTGACTTTTGTATGTGGCCCTTCCCTTTATGCTCTGGCTCTTAGCTTCCTTAAATAAAATATAAGGATGATAGATAAAATAATTTTATTTTATTTTTTTAAAATATTTTATTTATTTATTCATGAGAGACACAGAGAGAAAGGCAGAGACACAGGCAGAGAGAGGAGAAGCAGGCTCCCTGCAGGGAGCCCGATGTGGGACTCGATCCCAGGACCCTAGGATCATGCCCTGGGCCAAAGGCAGACGTTCAACCACTGAACCACCCAGGCATCCCAATAATTTTAAAGAGTTTGTGCAGTTCTGGCATTTTATTCATGAAATGTTGATTCTGATTCTTTCCTTTAGGAAGTCTCATGGGAAAATTAGGTTCCAAAATGATGGAAAATACTAGCTGAGTGTACTTGGAAGCCAAAGAGGGTATCTTTTTTTCTCTCCATCATGAAAATCCTCCTCTTGCAATTCATCCCTCCTTGTGTGTGATAGTGACAGAGACCTGCCCCTGCTGAGCTTGTATCAGATAACTGAAGTTTCTTTATACCTCTTCCCTCCCTAATAAATAAACTTCTGAAATCCTGGAAAAAAAGAAAAGAGCAGTTACACTTAGGTGGGATGGCCAAGGTTCAACTCCGGGTTCTACCATTTACCTACTGCATAACCTTGATAACCTTCTTAACCTTTCTAAATCTTATTATACCCAGGAAAACAGATGTTCTAGTATGGATGTCATGGATTTTTTTGAGAATTAAACAGGATACTGCTTGTAAAGAGCCTGTCACATACTGATGCACAGCAAATGTCAGCTATTATTGAGAAAGATTGGGCAGCCTGGGTGGCTCAGCAGTTTAGTGCTGCCTTCCGCCCAGGCCATGATCCTGGAGTCCACAGGATCGAGTCCCACGTCGGACTCCCTGCATGGAGCCTGCTTCTCCCTCTGCCTGCGTCTCTGCCTCTCCCTCTCTGTTTCTCATGAAACATAATTTCATAAATAAATTAAATCTTTAAAAAAGAGAGAGAGAGAAAGATTGTGGCTCCTTAAGAGCACTATTTGACTTCCATGTGTTAACATACATAGAATGAAAAAAAATATTTGTCTCCTAAAAAAAAAGGCATTATATAAGGTCAGAATTAACCACTCTAAAGCAAATACCCCTACCTCTCATTTATCTTTCAAGATTTCCATATCATTTCTCTTTGGAAGAAAGAATTCTTCAAGAGAGCCCTCTCTTGAAGAGCACCAGGTGATGCCATACAGACTGAAGGCGGGTGTCCCGTTTTCTTTACCACCAGAGGGCACCAATCAGTCAAATCATTGACCTGTCATTATAAAACACTATGAGAAAACTCTAGGAAGCTGTTTCTGCCACTCATTCTTCTGACAAATATATTTTGAATACCTATAACGTGCCAAACATTGTAGTAGCTTGTATATAAAAAAAAGAGCTTGTATAAACAAGACCTGCCAACCTTATGGAATTTATAATCTTGAGCACCTACTATGTGTTGGAGAGGTTCTATTAGACATGGGGGTGGAGGGTGAGGTTCAACTTGTTGTTGTTGTTACTGATTGTTTTCCTGCTCTTGGCTGTAAGCCCATGAGAACAATTACTTAGTGTCTACTTTGTGTCAAACAATGTACTGGTTGCTGTGGATCCAGGCATGAATAAGACACAGTTGCACTGTACTAACAAACCATGTCTTACCTGCTAGGATGAAAAGGCATGAGACATTAGATTCTAGAGTTCCTCTAAGGTGAGAATGAAGAACCTTAAGTACACATCTTATTAACTAACACATTAGTAGGCTATGAGCCTTCTAGACGGGTATATGTTTATTAGCCATCCACCTTAGGGCCATGGTCATTGCAGATATTTACTATGAATTTGTGAGTTTTATTTGAACTCAGGGAGCAGCTTCTGGTCTAGCTGACAGGTACCTGTTCCAGTGGATTAGGCTAAGAATTTACCATCTTCTGGGTCAGGGCGGGACTGTGATGAGTTTATGAGGGTGAAATGCTTTGAAGATGAACTTTCTGCCTATTTGTCTACTCACATCCTTGTTATTAAAGGTGTCAACATCATCTCCCACATTTCCAGGTCAGCAATCTTCTTGTCCCTAAATTGAATGGTGGAGGAAGGGAAGTCAGAACCATAGAGGGGGTGGTAGTCAGAATATACCTATGCCTTAATTTTTTTTTCTTTCTTTAAAGTTCCTATTTATGGATCATTTATCATGTGCTAGTCATTGTGTCAAATGCTGTAAACAGATGATCTCATTTAATATTTACAATAGTTTAAGTTGGGTATAATTAACCCTTTGTTACAGAAGCTGATGAATAAAGAATGGATAATATAAGTGGTAGAGCCAGGGTTGGAACTTAGACTCTTTTTGATCTCAAAATTCTAAATGTGTGGAACTCTCATAGTATCCTGACTTTACTAGGAATTGTTTCAGCAGTTATCATAGGACATGCCTTCCCAAGAGAACGAACGGGCTATCCTAAAATCATGAGGATTTAAGACTGTCTCCGTATCTCACTTAAGTTATGATTATCTTAAAAGTCCCTCAGTTCCTAGTTGGACCATCTAGCTGAAAGGATCTATAGGGGGTCAAAGTTCAATCACAATATTTTCCTTTTTTTTTCCTTTTAAGATTTTATTTTTAAGTAATCGCTACAACAAGGCGGGTCTTGAACTCACAATTCCGAGATCAAGGGTCACATGCTCCACCAAGTGAGCCAGCCAGGTACCTACCCCCCCCCCCATAGTACTTCATTTTACAAATAACTGAGGGATAGCTAGAGCACTTGCCCCACATCACAGAGAAGCGTCAGAAACCCAGGTTTAGTCTCCATTATTACTTCTCTATTTCCCGCAACTTCCTTTCCGTAGTCATGAAGAGAAGCAGCAGCGGCCTATCTGCCTTCCCCATTTCTCGGATGGGAATCGGCTCCCCCACCCCATCCCACCCCCCACCCCCCATCCCCCACCCCCCCTGGGTGACACACTGCCCTCCAAGGACACATGGGCTTGATATGTAAACAAGATATGTCGGGACACTTGTCCCCACCGAGAAGACTTCCAAGCTCAGCGTATTCTTGTCAAGGACCTATTAAGTGCAGGGACGGGGCAAGGACTTTGTGTCACGGGGAGAGGCCTGCAGAGGACCAGGGTTCGACGGCGGATGGCTGCGGAAGCCTGTGGCTACCTACACATTGGGAGAGGAAAAGGGAAGGCGCTGACAGCTCTAGGGCCAGTGTTCCCTCTCCCCGGAGCTCCCTAGGAACCGCGGCGCCCAGCGGCACAACTGTCATTTTGGGGCCAAGGGCATCCCCCGCGACTACCCTCGGCCCTCACAGCAGCTTGGCCCTTTAAGGGCGGGGGACACGCGTCGGCGTCACAAAGCGCCGCCACCGCGCCGGGCGGCGGGGAGGAGGCGGGGAAGTGAGAGGAGGAGGGCGGGGGAGGGAGCGGAGGGAGAGGAGGGCGGCGGAGGGAGGGGCGTGCGCACGCGCGTCTGGCCGCCCGCCTCCGAGAGCCGCCCTCCCTCCCGGCGCGCGCCCCTCCTCCCGCTCTCCCTCCCTCCTTCTTCTTGGCTCCGTCGCTCCCGCGGCGCGAGGCGCTCTCGCTCTTCTCCTCCTCCTCCGTCGTCGCCCCTCCCCCCGCGCAGCCGTCGCCGCCGCCGCCGCCGCCGCCGCCGCCGCCGTCGCCGCTGCGAGACCCCAGCGCGCCGCGCTCCCCCCGCCCTCCGGCCCCGCGCGCCCTTCGGCCCCGGCAGCCCCTGAGGAGAACGAGAGGGCGAGCGAGCGCGGCGCTCCCGGGCCGGCTCGGCCCCCTCCCCTCACCATCGCCGGCCCTTCGCCGCTCTCCTCCGCTTCCACCCCCTCTCCCCCCCCCCCAGCCAAGTTGAGGCCCCCTCCGGGGGGGGGAGGCCCGGGACCGGGAGCGAATTCCCCTAACTCCCTCAGCCCCTCCCCCCACCTGGCCCGAGTGTGAGGAAAAAGGCCCGGCCCGCGTCGTGTGTGAGGAGGACCCGGGCCGGCCCACGGGCCGTCTGGGGCCTGGTCCGGCCCGCGGGGTGTGTGAAGACAGGGGCCCGGTGCGGCCCGGCGGAGGGCGAGCGCAGGGGAGGGGCCTCGTCCGGCCCGGCCGGTGCGAGAGGACTGGGGCTCCGGCCCGGCGCCGCCGCGATGGCCCAGCAGCAGATGACCAGCTCGCAGAAGGCCCTGATGCTCGAGCTGAAATCCCTGCAGGAGGAGCCGGTGGAGGGCTTCCGGATCACCCTGGTGGATGAGTCCGACCTCTACAACTGGGAGGTTGCCATCTTCGGACCCCCCAACACCCTCTACGAAGGCGGCTACTTCAAGGTACCCCTGCCCCCTCCCAGACCATGCTTCCCCAGGCGGAGGCCTCCGCTCCCCGCCGCTTCCTGGGCCAAGAGTGAGCGCGAGTGTGTATAGGGGGCTCCTCACCTCGGCAGCCCCCTCCCCCCATCCGTGGAAGCAGGAAGGCCTTGCTCACCAAGTGCCTTTTCTTTGTCATGGGGGCGGGGGCTGGAGGCCAGACTGCACCGGGAAATAGGAAAGCGTCTCTGGCTAGGGTAGTGGCTACCGGAGGAGGAGGGCTGTCTTTGTTTTGTTTCCCCAGCTGAGGGTGTGTGGGAAAGAAAGGTGGTCTTTCCCCTCTCGTATGCCCATCAGAACCGTCACCGCGCCGGCTGGAACTGCCCCAGAGGGCAGAGTGACCTGCACTTATTGGATTGAACCTTTCTTTTTTGGGGGGGTGAGGGTGGGGGAAGGGTATTAACCTGTCATTCCAAAGGCTATCTAGTGACCTGACACTTTGAGGCTGTGATGGGCTTCTTGCGTGGTGGTAGTTCCAACTTCGCATTCCAGTGGGCGGTAATGAATAGGACCCTAGGGGTGGTAAACAAGGATGCCTGCGTTTTCATCCCATTATCTACTTGAGGGAACGCTAATTTAGCCTCCTTTCTGTTCTCTTTCTCTGTTTACTTCAGTGGTATTTCAAAATGCCCTTTGTCCTCACCCTGCCACCAACTTTACTGGCTCCCCCCCCCCCCCCATGTAGAAATATCTGCAGACCGTGGAACGTGTTCTGTAGGGAGGTTGCTAGTTTCCCACCTCAGGGAGACAGAATCGAAACGTTTTATTCAGGTGGTTAGCTCTAGCAAATGGGGTGGTCTCACAGATGAAAAGTATCATCTGAGGTGAGTTGGTTTCACTGAGAAGGACTGATCCTTAGTCCCCCTCCTGATTTTGGAACAGTGATTGTTGTTCCTGAATGCAGTGGTTTTCTTTTTTTTTTTTCCCCTCCCCCCCCCCCTTTTTTAATTCTAAGATAACTTGGCAATATTGAGTTTGTTTTTGTTTTTACTTCACCAATTTTGTAGGGACAAGTCATAGATTGATGGTAGAATGCTTTAAGTGGTGGAGGCAGAGACAGGAAATAAGTGCTAGGGAATCCAATTAATTTTATTTCCAAAATTAAGTAAAATAGAGCAGTGAGTCAATCTTTGTTTTGAAGGGAGGGGCTATCTTGGCATAAGTTTTAAATGAATATCTTAGTCACGTAGTCATGATGTACATTTTTAGGAACTACCCAATTACTTTTTTCTATCCTTCTAAAGGTAGAGAACCTTCAGTGTCAGCTTTGAAATTGGGTCAACTTTGTAAAAATGTGAAGAATTGACCGGGGCGGGGGGGTGATGTTTAATAGTCACACTTGTGATAGTCTGTGAATACCTAGTAAAAGCACGTTTTTAGAATATTGTGTAAGAGCAGTACTTTTACTAACTATGTGCTTAATCTCTTGTCACCATACACTATACCTTTTAGATGCAGCTACTAAGGCAAAGTTATTAGTGACAAAGTGAAGAAGATATTAATGTGTCTACTGGCTAACTTTAGTGACAAAGTTTAATTCCCGTAAAGTATTAGTTGGGAAAATTAATAGTCAAGGTGAATGGGTACTAATTAGAATACTTCCACCTCAGTGTTTTTTAAAAAAAAGCAGTGTCAAAGGAATTAATAGTTGCAAATTGTAATATTTTTGCTTAAGTAGCAGGAAAAGGGTTGTGGAGAATCCTCTGTGTTTGAAATAAGTACTATGGGAAGAGGATTCCCTACTCTGGCAAACATTGATTTCAGTTAAATATTTTGTAATTTCTGTTGTATTAAGAAAAAATGGTTGAATTTCAATGTATATTTTAGATTTCTTAATCTTTTTACCTTTAATTGTGACATTTAAAAATGTATGAAAATTCTTAGGATTTAGTGTTGTATGAAAATTCTGTCATTTTGTTTTATTCCTTGTTGTATGGCTTTTTATCCCAAAAGTTTTTTGTTAGAAAAAGGCAAATTTATGGTCATGAGTAGTTAACACTGGTGGTAGGTCTAAAACCATTGTTTTTTTTATTTCACTGCTTTTGTCATAAAACAAGGCTTTTAGTGTGTTCCACTACAGCTGCAGTTAAAAGTTGGCACAGACCTTTTTCCACCACTGTTCTACCATATCAAATGATAGTTTTTGAATATTTAGTATAATTTATTTTCAATTTAAATTGTTTCCTCTGTTTTGCATAATAGTTCCTGAAGGCAGTGGGACTGCCAGTCATTCTTTAAATTTTTCATGTTACTCCTTTAACTTTCACATATTAATAGGTTTCTTACTGATCTTTCTTCACATGAAATCCTTGGCTCCAGTCTGTTTTAACTATGGCATATGTTGTGGTAGAGACTGGTGAGACCTGTATTTCACAAATTTTTTTCAGTTCATCATAACCTTTGTTTTTTAAGTATTTCAAGTCTGTGTTTCTTAGCTATGGGGCTAAGATGGGTAGCATGTATGATGGGTAAAGGTAGTTTCTTGTGCCTGTTTTTCTGGATATCATAAAATCTTTTTTTGGCTTTGGTTTTTGTCCAGTTTCTTGATCTTTTAGACTTGCTGAGTGAAACATCTTTGTTGCTTCTACTTTTCCTCTAGGGGTCAATCGTTACAAAACGCAAAGTAGGAGATGACTTGGAATAGAGAACACCTCTGAATATAATTTTGCTACTGTGGAGCGAGTTGGAATTTTATTATGTTATTGGACGAATGAATTGTTGATCAAGTGAGCAGTTAATGATAACTTTTAACAAATTCACTCCATTCATTTAAAAAGCACTATCTTGGGCAGCCCAGGTGCCTCAGCGGTTTAGCGCCGCCTTCAGCCCAGGGTGTGATCCTGGAGACCCGGGATCTAGTCCCACGTCGGGCTCCCTGCATGGAGCCTGCTTCTCCCTCTGCCTGTGTTTCTACCTCTCTCTCTGTGTCTCTCATGAATACATAAATAAAATCTTATTTTTTTTTAAAGCACCATCATGGGGATCCCTGGGTGGCTCAGCGGTTTAGCGAGCCTGCTTCTCCCTCTGCCTGCTTCTCTGCCTCTCTCTGTGTCTATCATGAATAAATAAATAAAATATAAAAATAAATAAAAAGCACTATCTTTTCAAATAATTCCTGCTAATGATTATATAACAGTATGGCTGCTTAGGTATAGAAGAGAATCTCTTTGGGAGGTTCTTTGGAACTCCTCCTGCATTATTTATCTGAAAGCGTGGTAGGGTGGAGTCCAGAGATCAGAAAAAAGAGTGCTTAGGGGTTCGTGGCTGGCATAGTTGGTAGAGCATGTGACTCTTGATCTCAGAGTGGTAAGTTCGAGGCCCATGTTGGGTGGAGAGATTACTTTGAAAGAAAAAGTGTCTTTTTCATAATGTTCATAGTATAAAAGTTTAAATGATACAGAAAACTTAAAATATTGCAGTTAACTTTTTGTAGTTTTTGTTTTTATTCAATATATATAAATTTTTAAGATTTTATTTATGTATTCATGAAAGATAGAGAGGCGGAGGCACAAGCAGAGAGAGAAGCAGACTCCATGCAGGGAGCCTGATGTGGGACTCCATCCTGGAACCGCGGAATCACACCCTGGGAAGGCAGGCACTAACCGCTGAGCCACCCAGCTGTCCCTTTATTCAATAATTGTATTGAGAAAGTGAAATAAATATAGGTTCTTCCATTTCTTGAAAACTTCAAACTGATAATTTAGAAAAGTATTTGTCATATACTAAAAGTTTTCCTTAATCAGAGCTTCTTTAATAGAAATCAAAATGTAAGTCTGATAAACTTTTCAGGGGCGCCTGGGTGGCCTTCAGCTCAGGTCATAATCCCAGGGTCCTGGGATCAAATCTTCTGCTCAGTGGGGAGTCTGTTTCTCCCTTTTCCCTCCCCGCTGCTTGAGTTCTTTCTCTTGCTCACTCAGATAAATAAAATCTTTAAAAAAAACATTTAATAATTTGTAAAAATAACAGATATATATTATTTTCATTTATTCTGGAATAAATAAATGTATTTCTTGCCCCCTCTCAAAAAAACAAAAACAAAACCCTGCAAAATTTAACATTTGGGCCTGGCAATGTCCTTAATATTATGACATACTCTGTTTTGTGACTCTAATTCCTAATATGTAGTTGAAACAATTATTTTAAGAAAGTGATTCTTAGGGAAGCCCCGGTGGCCCAGCGGTTTGGCCCCGCCTTCGGCGGCACAGGGTGTGATCCTGGAGACCCGGGATCGAGTCCCACGTTGGGCTCCCTGCGTGGAGCCTGCTTCTCCCTCTGCCTGTGTCTCTGCCTCTCTGTGTCTGTCATGAATAAATAAATAAAATCTTCCAAAAAAATAAAAAAGAAAAAGAAAAGAAAATGATTCTTAGAGGCACCTGAGTGGCTCAGTGGTTGAGCATCTGCCTTTGGCTCAGATTGTGATCCCAGGGTCCTGGGATCAAGTACTGCATCAGGCTCCCCTCTGCCTCTCTGTGTGTCTCTCATGAATAAATAAATAAAATCTTTAAAAAAAAAGTAATTCTTAGTCTTTTTATTATGTGGATCTTTTAAATTTAAATTTATTTTATTTGAGAGAGAGCACAAGCAGGGGGAGCAGCAAGCAGAGGGAGAGGGAGAAACCAGCTCTAGGGAACCTGACCCAGCACTCTGGGATCATGACCTGAGCCAAAACCAAGAGACAGATGCCTAACTGACTGAGCCACCCAGACACCCCTATATGGATCCTTTTGAGAAACAGCTTTCTTTGGGAAAACATTGGTACATGTGAACTAGTTTGTATACCTTTTCAGAGGGTTTACTGACCCTCTGACAGGTTAAGAATTCCTGTTTTATGCGAATAAAAGACACCTGAGTTACATGGTGTCTACTTTTCCAGTGCTTCTCTCTCCCTGCAAACAGGAGTATGGTCAACGACTGTGCAAAGACATTGTGTACTCTGCTAGGGGAAGTATATTAGTATACATTTA